CCATACACATCCAGTTCACAATAGTTCAACACCAATGCATTCCAACCTCTAGCACTAGATATGTATGTGTATGTCAACAATTAACTTCATACACATCCCACCATGTTTCCCAAGCTATCAACTCAAACAAATCCCTGTAACAAAACACTTAACAAACCTGTACATATGACATGTTACATGTGATAATAAACAGCTTGATATGGTACAGCGGAATGTACACTGTATTCAGACATAGACAGCAGAAAAGCAAGACTATGTACATTGTATTTGTCAGTGAGGCTGACGGGGTCGTTGTTGGGTACAATAGACCGTATGTTCTCCAGGTATGTTTCTGGGTACAGAAATGTATCCTACAGTCCGTTTGAGTCAGATACAGACCGATGAATTGCAAATTTTATCATTGTACAAAATTGCCACATAAATATAAATAATACACATGTTTATCATTTACTAATACCAAACAGCTTTCTTATATTTGAAAATTTTCCGGACTCCACCAAAAAAGTTCTTTAAGAAACTATCATTAAAATTTTGACATAGTTCACTATTTGTTACGAGGGAGGAGTGCAGAGAAAGGGACAGCCAGGTGTTAGAGAAGCGCGTGCACAAGTGCCCACCAAGTTATTGATTCATTAGCCTGTGCTGTGCCGTCTCCATCCTTTCTCGCACACACGGCAGAAAAATCCAAAGGTTCATGTCATTAAGTTCCCACTTGCCTTACAAGTGACACTATGCATAGAAAAATATTCATCATTGTGCATGCTAATTTCATATATAATAAAATCGAATGCATCTCATACAACAGTATGACAGTTCTAATCAAGAAAACGGACTCCAGGCCTATTGAATGGAGTAGTTTTGGGGTATGTTTCTGTATTCTGATTTTGGCTATGGTACATTTCTGTATACAGAAACATACCTATGTACATCACTGTAGTATTTGTGCTGATGACCCCTTCAGCTATAGTGAGTGAGTGAGTGAGTGAGTGAGTGAGTGAGTGAGTGAGTGAGTGAGTGAGTGAGTGAGTGAGTGAGTGAGTGAGTGAGTGAGTGAGTGAGTGAGTGAGTGAGTGAGTGAGTGAGTGAGTGAGTGAGTGAGTGAGTGAGTGAGCGAGCGAGCGAGCGAGCGAGCGAGTGAGGTAGGTTTTACGCCGTACTCAGCAATATTCCAGCTATATGGCAGCAGTTTGTAAATAATCGCATCTGGACCAGACAATCCAGTGATCAACAGCATGAGCATCAATCTAAGCAATTGAGATACGAGGACATGTGTCAACCAAGCCAGCAAGCCTGACCACTCAGGTTTAGTGAGCTTATTAACTGGATCATATCAGAGACTAATTTGAGATTCAAACTCATGATATGTGGATTCAGCCTTCTGAAACCACATGGCCACCCCTTTGAGACTACCTCATGATGCTCAGACCCTGTACATCAATTCCATACCTCTTTACGTCAGTTATTACAGCCTTTTTCTCGTATCATGTCAGGTGGACTTCCTAATCAGAAGATCAGAACAGAGTCAAAACTGCCATAGAAGTGAGCAAACATTCAGAGCTGCTTCTCTGATTTCACCATCACAATTTCTACAAGCAGTTCCAAACGGAGTGTGTATGGTTTTACGCTGTTTCTAGCAACATTCCAGTAATATTGCGGCGGAGGACACAAGAAATGGGCTTCACATATTGTACGCAGGGAATCGAACCTATGACTTTAGCGTGATGAGCGGAAGCTTTAACCATCAGGCTACCCCACCGCCCAGCTTATTACAGCCATATGCCAGAGAGAAACAAACTTTCGCTATTTTTGCTGACTCTGGCAAGTTCGGTTGTACGGCGGCTGATCTGATTGGCTACTGTGAGAATGCGGAGCCAGCAAAAGGAGGTAATAAAATCATTGTCTCAAGCCGTAGATGCATCCAGGGTATAGTGGAGATTTATCGGAACGTATACCCTGGAGTTATCAAGGATGATGTTGATAGAGAGAGGTGTCAAATTTGAGTGAGTAAGTGAGTTGGGTTTAACAGTGTTTCGACCAGTATTCCAGTTATAATTCGGCATTCTGCCTAATGTGGGAAGACAGCCTAGAGTGAAGCAGGTCTCCGAGGTTTACTACTTTTGTGAGACCCACAAGCATGGATATGGTGCTGACAAGCCTAGAAACATTATCAGTAGAACCTACATTCACAAGTTCCTGGTGTGTCTAAGGGAGGTAATAAATATGATCTTAATGAGGTTGCTGTAAGATGTTTTGATATAAATCATTGTTGAACTTAAAATATAGATAATCCAGGGTCGGCAATTAAATGAGACAATAATAGTTCTTTGAGGCGCCTGCTCAATATGAACAGCATACAAACCAACAGCCATGCCAATGTGAATAATTATGCTAACTAGCAAGTCTTATGTACAGTTTCTTTTCCCATATCACTGTTATACATATTCTCCATATGAATGTTGTACATAATCCAGTACAAGTGTTGCATATATATTTCCCTAATAAACGCTGTACATATTCCCTATATAAATATTGAAATAATCCCCACATCACAAATGTTGTATACATTCCCCATATGAATATTGAAATAATTCCCACATCAATATTGTATATATATTCACCAAATGAACCTTGCACATATTCTCCATATAAAGATTGAAGGTGAGGTGAAATTGGGTTTAACGTCATGCTTGAGAATATTTCGCTCATATGACGAATATATAAAGACTGAAATAATCCCCACATCAAGACTTCATATTCCCACATGAATGTTGTAATAACTTCACAAGTAAATGTTGTACATATTCCCACATGAATGTAGTATATATTCCCCACATGAATATTGCAAGAACTTCCCTAATCAACGCTGTACATATTCCCACATGAATGTTGTAATAACTTCACAAGTAAATGTTGTACATATTCCCACATGAATGTTGTAATAACTTCACAAGTAAATGTTGTACATATTCCCACATGAATGTAATAACTTCACAAGTAAATGTTGTACATATTCCCACATGAATGTTGTAATAACTTCACAAGTAAATGTTGTACATATTCCCACATGAATGTTGTAATAACTTCACTAGTAAATGTTGTACATATTCCCACATGAATGTAGTATATATTCCCCACATGAATATTACAAGAACTTCCCTAATCAACGCTGTACATATTCCCACATAAATGTTTTACACATTCCCCATGTGAATCTTGTATTAACTTCCCTAATCAATGTTGTACATATTCCCACATGAATGTAGTATATATTTTCCATGTGAATTTTGTAATAACTTCCCTAATCAATGTTGTACATATTCCCACATGAATGTAGCATATATTCCCCATGTGAACATTGTAATAACTTCCCTAATCAATGTTGTACATATTCCCTCATGAATCTTGTATATATTCCCCATGTGAACATTGTAATAACTTCGCTAATCAAAGTTGTACATATTACATGAATGTTGTATATATTCCTCATGTGAATATTGTAATAACTTCCCAAATCAACGCTGTACATATTCCCCCATATGAAAGCAGTAAAGACATTAGACAAGTTCTAGAGCTATAACTGCAAGTTGAACATAGTTGAGACACTTCCAAATAAGGTTTTCATACTGATAATAATGAGAGTTTAAAAATAAATTCCAATTTCAGGCAGGTGAGGATGACCTGTTTCACATACTGGACATACACATTTCAATCCATTTAGTGATGTGGTAAACTGACTGAGTTTAGTTTTACGCCGCTTTTAGCAATATTCCAGCAATATCACGGCGGGGGACACCAGAAATGGGCTTAACACATTGTGCCCATGTGGGGAATCGAACCCGGGTCTTCGGCGTGACGAGCCAACGCTTTAACCACTAGGCTACCCCACCGCCCCAGTGATGTGGTAAAACAAATGCTAAACAAAGGACCACCTACTATAATTACTTATTGTACATTATAGTAGATTGGGTAAATTGTAAGGTGTACTCCTAAAGCACTATGTCTTGTGCACATGGAAGAAATTTGAAAAATCACACAATGTAAAAAATCAAAATACCCTCGTAAAACTCAGCAGTAGGAATCTGTTACTTTGTCACCATGAGATCATGCATGTATCTGAAGTATGCTACACTTTCATACTTATCTCCATGCATGGTTCAATGTGTGATTTACATAGCTTCTTAATGCTTTGCATGATTCACATAGCTTAATACTCTGCACGATTCACATAGCAGCCTAATTCTCTGCATGATTCACAAAGCATCTTAAGGACCATCCTCAATAATCTCCAGGGTATACGTTACGATCACTCTCCACGATACCCTGGATGCATCCACGGCTTGGGGCGATGATTTTATTACCTCCCTTTGCTGACTTTTTATCCAGTCAGGTGCCTATGCTGGGAAGTTGAGCGTACCACTACTCACTTTCACGTCTTAAATTATCTAACTGTTTAAACTTTGCAACACAATTGATGCAGAGGTACTCTGAAAGAAGTAGTAGGAGTTCTTTCATATATTCTTTTTAAAGTTTCAGATCTGTGAATTTGTCTTTATTATTTCCCAAAAAATCTGAGTGGCACTGCGAACAAACCTTTGAAACTGCGACTGCAATCTTTGTTGACACTGGCAAGCTCGGTTGTAATGGCGGCTTAGCTGATTGGCTACTGTGAGAATGCGGAGCAAGCCAAGGGAGGTAATAAAATCATCGCCCCCAAGCCGTGGATGAATCCAGGGTATAGTGGAGAGTGATTGTAACCTATACCCTGGAGATTATCGAGGATGCTTAAGGGCCTGCTTGATCAAGAGAGCTTCTTAATGCTCTGCATGATTCACATAGCAACATAAAGATCAGCATGATTCACATAGCAGCTGAAAGCTCTGCATGATTCACATAACAGCATAAAGATCAGCATGATTCACATAGCAACATAAAGATCAGCATGATTCACATAGCTTCTTAAGTTCTGCATGATTCACATAACAGCATAAAGCTTTGCATGATTCACATTGCAGCCTAATGCTCTGCTTTATTCACATAGTTGCCTAAAAGATTTCAACCCATGATCAGTACTGGTCCATATTATAATCTTAGATTGCAGCTTGAGTATGTTCTGATAATCAGAGCAGAATCATTTACTACTAAGCAAAGTTAAAACTGATAATTTTTGGCTGTAAGAAAATTGTTTTTACTGACTTTGTTTTTGACTTGTTCATATTATTGGAAAAATATTATTTGTACAAATGCAAGCTCAATTCTGTTTTACCAAATACTGCTCAGTTCCGAAGTGAGTTGAGATTGAGATATAGTATTGAAAAATGTATTTTCTTTAACAAAAGATGTAACGCCGAATTTTATTCGAAATGGCTTATTCAAAGACAACTGAATTAATTATATTATTAATATGTTTGATCATTAAAAAATAATCTTGTACTTGTGTGAATGGTGAGTGAATGGATTGTCTTGTTTCATAAAAAATTCCACCTGTGTCCTGTTAAATTACTGTATAACTTCAGACCAAGCTGTCCCCTGGCTGCTTAGTTTTGACTGTAACAGGGATTCAGAAATAAAATTTAAATTACAAAAAAAAAACATCCAAAATTTTCATCTGACTACACTTAATGTGTCATGACATGTTCCCAGCTGTATGTGTTAATGTTTAAGGCTGTGGCATAACTACCTGTTTCAAGTGAGCATTTCTCATTTGTAAGTAACATATTGCTATTGATACAAAATAAATGCTGGTGATCTGTATTAAACAGTGTGTTCTTTAACAACTTCAGCAGCATGGTTGATTTATTCCTTAGTTTCCGTGGATGCTTCGCACAGAGAAATCTTGATGATAAGTATAACAAATTGCAGGTCTAGAAGCCTACAGTTTCAGCAGTATCACAACACTCCATCCAGTGGTCTGGTTCTGTCATGGTTGAGGCCTGGAGTACCCCTACTGTATTCAGTACAACTCACAATAAGTTAACGAAAAATGGCGAAGGATTGCAATCTTCATGTTGATTTCTATTCAAGGTAATGTTCAAATGTCCATTTTTGAGAATCGTCTCCGTTACAAGGGTTGACAACAACGGCATCGTTATTTTTCAGTTTGGCCTTGTCAAGACACATTCCTGACTTCACGTGGATGATTGTCCCGTCCTTCTGAAAAACAGATTGTGGGAGTGAGTAACTGTTTTTTTATCGCACAGTCATCAATATTCAAGTTATACCATAGTGAATATAACTGAAATATTGCAGAGTGCGTTGTTAAACAACAAACAAACATGGTGGACTGTACGTATTGTTTTCTTGTTTAAGGTATCAGTCAGCAATATTCCAGGCATACAAGAGCCATCTGTAATACATACAATCTGGAAAACACTTGTCAATGGTTGAATTCTTGAGCATAGACCAACTCAAACGGGATACAATGACACACATCCTACCAAGTCACTGAACCAGACCACTTGATCTGCATAAATACTCCATCTTGCAACAAGCATAGCTGCTGGAAACCAATATTCTCACCCAGAATACCCACAGGTTCTGTGAATATTATATCCGTACTCAAACACTATCATAAAAAAATCCTTATTACTTGGCTTTAAAACCATTTTAGAAAGGTGTCTACCCTTGAAGATCCATTTTAGAATTGGTCTTCAGCAACCCATGCTTATTGTTTGAGGGGACTAATGGGATTTGGCCCCGATTTCTCGAAACAAACTTAAGTCTGAGTTTTGACTTAAGTTAGAGTGTTTACTCAAAGTTGAGAAAATGCATTGCCAGAATGAACTGAAATCGACTGCATATTAAAAATAAAAAAAGCCCAAACAACTTAAGTAATCTATCCACCAAACTCAAATTGTTTACTTAGTTTGAGTTCAATGGATAGATTACTTAAGTTGTTTGGGCTTTTTTAATTTTTAAAATGCAGTTGAGTTAAAAATTCAGCTGTTTCAAATTGTCAAACTCAGTTTGAAATTTGAGTAAAAACTTAAGTTTCTTTCGAGAAATCGGGGCCGGGTGGTCAGGCTCACTGACTTGGTTAACACATCATAGTATCCCATTTGGGTAGATCGATGCTCATGATGTTGATCACTGGATTGTCTGGTCCAGACTCAATTATTTACAGACCGCCGCCATATAGCTGGGATATTGCTGAGCGCGGCAAGAACAAATGAACAAAACAAAAGAAAGGGATCCCCATGGTATCACACCAAGAGTGAAATTGGCTGACGTCACTTTGAACAGTATTTCAGTTGCATCATAAACAGGGAAGACCATATCAATGGGCCATAGTTTGATATTTAACAAAAGCCTGAAGAAATGCAGGTTTTTGTTTATCACTCTGTTGAAAGCCACGATCACTAGTATGGTGCTGAAAAACCTAGATAGATGAATAGGCAATCAAATCTACAATCAAAGGTTTCATGGAAGGCCGTAACTGCACAGACAATTGTCTGGCCTCAGAGGACTGAGCCACCTGTGTTTGTCACAGGGACATAACTCCTCAGGGGTATTTTCAGCCACTGCAATAGCAGAGTTACTTCCCTTCCATTACTGGTGGACTCTGGCATTGTGTCACAAAACACACCCTGAGCAAAGGCTTGACAGAAGTAATAACCTAATGAAAAGCTACCTTTAACAATCAGTAAAGGTTGCTGGTGACATTTTCTAACACAGTAAGTGAGTGAGTGAGTTTAGTTTTACGCCGCACTCAGCAATATCCCAGCTATATGGCGGCGGTCTGTAAATAATCGAGTCTGGACCACACAATCCAGTGATCAACAGCATGAGCATCGATCTGCGCAATTGGGAACCGATGACATGTGTCAACCAAGTCAGCGAAACTGACCACCCGATCCCGTTAGTCGCCTCTTACGACAAGCATAGTCGCCTTTTATGGCAAGCACATGGGTTGCTGAAGACCTATTCTACCCCGGATCTTCACGGGTCAACACAGTAAGTGATTGATTAAATGCCGCTTTTAGCAATATTCCTGCAATATCATAGCGGCAGACACAAGAGATGGGCTTCACACATTGTAGGCATGTGGGAATCAAACCCAGGTCTTCAGCGTGATGAGCGTAAGGTTTAACCACCAGTCTACCCCACCACCCGTTTTCCAACACAGAATACGACTCCAGTGAGTTAAGAGACCCATGAAGATAAGGGTTAGAAATGATCTTCAATAACCTATGCTTGTCGTATGAGGCGACTAATGGGATTAGGTGGTCAGGCTCGCTGACTTGGTTGACACATGTCATCATATCCCAATTGCACAGATCGATGCTCATGCTGTTAATTACTGGATTGTCTGGTCCAGACTTGATTATTTACAGACTCCCGCCATATAGCTGGAGTATTGTTGAGTTTGGCGTAAAACAATACCCAAACCAAACCAAACCAGCCAGTTAGGTATTTACCTTATTATGTTTCCATTTCAAGGTCTCTACGTTTCCTGCGCATCCCGTGAGTCTCACCGCCTGCCCTGCTACACCGCTGGACGACAAACAGCCCTCCTCTCGACGAAATTCATCAGTCATGCTGATTGACAGGATCTGAAGCATTCGTTGGAGTGAGTGAGTGTTTTCTCTCAACTGTTGGTTAATAATTTCTGTGGGTGTGTGGGTGGGGTGAGTGAGTGAGTGAGTGAGTGAGTGACAAAAGCCTGTAGCTGCCCAAATAGAATTAGCAGAGGATGTCAGGGAAGGAAAGGATGTCACAAGCTTGAACCAAAAACTACAACATCATGGCTGAAGATACATCACAACAGAAGCTTGCTGACCACATGATTAGTGAAAAGGGAGCTCAAACATTGTCAAAAAGATAAAGAAATTATGCATAATGGGCAATAATGAAGTTATAACACTGTCATGTGTGTATGTAGTCGTGTATCATTATGTACTTGATATATTATACACAAAAAACACTGGGCTATCAGGATCAGGATCAACACATGTACAGGGGTGGAAATAACTTTAAAATTGCTAGTGTACTCTGGTACAGTGGCACATGTAAAATCACTTGCCCTGATCAGTTTTCCACTCTACCGGCCGTTTTCTTGTTAATTTTTTAAATAAACAACATAATTAATATTGGAAAGTCAACTGGACACCGGTACAGCGTGATATACAAATTTGCTTGCCCGACAGAAAAAAGCACTGGACTCGGACGTCGGGCAATGGGTTATTTTCACCCCTGCAGGTAATGTATCACTGAATGGCATGCACGGTTTCACCAGAATATTCATTTTTACACAATGGAAAATGGTTCATTTAACTCTTTCAACACCAGTCAACCAGAGGCATTTACTGCCATGACACCGAGTTCCCAGAGACTCTGAGGTCATAGATGAAGCCTATGTTTATCAAGGAAAATATCAGCTCGTAAATCATTATTACTACTACATATCATAAAACCATTTGAAAGGTCTAATCCCACTGTTTATAAATATGAAAGTTATTTTTTATCATATTATTCAAGTAATACGACTACAACTTAAATAAGTTAATTATTAATGAAAATGCAAGCTTACACATTTATATGTCAAGATAAACCAAGAAGGAAGCAAAAAATGAGGCGATTTTTTCCCATTTGTAACATGTCATAATATTCCCTTACCTATTTCTTTTATATTTTCATTTTTCGGAAAATTAATCGGAAAATTATTATAAAAAGATTTCTGAAATAATATGTATGGTCGTCTATTTCCCGATATCAGTGGCTTTCCCCTCGGTACCATGATACAACAGCGTGAAATACCTCCGTTTTCGAAGCTTCATATGAATAACATGTGAGGCGATTCGTTTGATGGCGGGTATTGTTCGAAAGCATCAACAATATCACTGTACCCTTGCCAAGAGTATTTTCACAGTTGTAAGAAGCGATTTCATTGGATAAAGATTGGTTTCTAATGACGCTTATTTGCCTCAGTCTGCTATAAGGATCATGATTGATCAAAATCAGACACGTTACCTAAGGCAGCCAATCAGATAACAGCAATGGATACTGTCCTCGTAAATGAAAACCTGTAGGTTCAGACGAAAGTTTTGGGTAAATATCATGCTATTCTGAACGTGTTACGCAAAAATTAGCACCTATACGTATATTATGGAGTTAGTTGACGTATCATGCTAGGTTATGACCTGTGACAAGAAAGTTTAATGCATATATTTTAGCATTAAACATTGTGTCCGAGCGTAAAGTTCGAAGCGACGAAAGCCGAGAAGTCACTTGAATTACATTACACGATCGCTCAATAAAGATGGAAATAGTAAGTTATAATGTTTGTTTGACAACTATTATGAGAGCACAGTTGTTGATTTTATTCTTCAGTTTATTTAAATTGTTTAATTTCCTCGAAACATCATTAATTTTCTCATTGAGAACTCCGATGTGGACCCGTTGCCGAAGCATGTGTCCGAGAATCTTTTTTATTCAATAACATTGCAAAAAATAGATTATAATTCTAATTCTGTTGATAATATATGGCCAATTGAAATGTAATGAGTGTTTTCAGGCATTATGAAAAGAGATAGATTTGATAAATGAATCATATGTTAGTTAGGTTCCTAAAATTATATATCATTTTAATGCGACTACTGCTTGGCCGGTTTTCCGGCTTACGGTGTCTGGGGACTGGTGACGTTTTGGCCAGAAAACCAGCCTACGGTGTTGAATGGGTTAATAATACTTTTGAGAAAAACTCACTTGATTGGCACTGACACCATTCTGACAGGAGTATAATCCCATGTCGAAAGAGGATTTTTCGTCTTTCTGTAGTGTGTCAAGGCAGATATTGCTGGACGGATTCCTCACCTGAAACAGGAAGTGGGTGCATTAGAGTTTATACAATTCATGCATTACTTTACAATGCACCAGGAGATTCAAGACTAGGTAGATTCAGACACAGAGTATATTAGTGCTGTAACGATGCATTGATTCTCTGATAGCAATTAATGGTAGAAACGATAAACTATCAATGCATAGATATATAGTATGTGTGACTATCGATAGTTTAGTAATTGACTTCCGTTGATAAATGCACAACGCAAAATACAGGAAGTACCAGATTCATTCACTTTGATTTTGAGTTATCCGCCCCTGTTACCTCTTAAACAAGTGTGGCAGCAAACTATAACTATACATTCATTTAGAAAATGACTTCAAATGAGACAATTCAAGGAGAAAAAAACTATTGCAATAGTATTGCACTAGTTGGTCGCAATAGATTATCGCTATCACAATAGTATGTTGCAATAGTCACCCCTAGTGTTTATACAAAACATGGGAGTACTTCAGGGTATTTGACTACCTATGGCCTTTCTCACAACAGTGAGTGAATGAGTGAGTATGATTTTACAGGCCTTTTAGCAATATTCCAGCAATATCACAGTGGGGGGGACACCAGAAATATGCTTCACACATTGTACCCATGTCGGGAATCGAACATGTGCTCAGTAACGATTTAATCACTAGGCTTTCCCACCGCCCCCTCTCACAACATGCAAGACCAGACAGGGTATACTTTATCACAGCATGTTGATTAATGTGGGAAGAAATACCAAGGCAGGTCTTGGAACATACAGGTATCTAAGTAATAGAACCTTCTATTTGTAAATGTCACAAAAACGAGTAGTCCATGGCAACGGTGAAATCTGACATGCAGCTCATTGAACTACCCACAGTTTTAGTTTTGCTAATTATAAAGCATTGTTAATTGTAACTTGCTTTCTGTCCAACTCATTTGTAACCTTCGAAGGTATGAAAGGTCGGTGGGGTAGACTAGTGGTTAAATGTTCGCTTACCACGCCAAAGACCTAGGTTCGATTCCCCACATGGGTACAATGTGTGATGCCCATTTCTGGTGTCCCCCTGCCGTGATATTGCTGAAATATTGCTAAAAGCAGCATAAAAACAAACTCTGTGACTCACTCACTCACTCACTAGACTATGGATGGTCCCGGTGAGCAATATTGATCTTACCCACAGAAGATTTACTGATTTACAAATTTCTTCTAAGGATTAAATGGGTGCTTTCTAAGGATTACCATGGTTACGCACATCAAAATGTAAACCTACCATTCCCCAAGCCTTCACATTCTCATCAGGAATGAATTTTTCAGGGTAAACATTGTCCAGATACCACTTGAAACTTTTACACTTCAGCTTCTCCCTCAAAGCCTTTCTTTCTGAGATGTCCCCATGGTCCTTGCCCTTGAAAGAAAGATGCTGTGCATTAATATGGTGATTGTGTGGATTCATTAAGTCCGTAAGTTTAGTATGAATAACCAAGGACAAAACAAGCTATTGTGAATGGTGTTTTTATACACACAAAAATAAAATAAATGTATGTAAGAAGGACATGTCTAAACAGTATTTAAACAGAATTTCAGTTCTGTCAACCTAAAAGTGTGATGAAATCCCCAACTGATGCAAGCCTTCATGTTTTCCACTTTGCTGAAACGCATAAGTTTCATGATGACAGACAAGATTATGATCCGTTCAATTCTGGAATTCAAGCTAATGGCAAATAATGCTTTTAACATACAAATGTACCATCCACAGGTCAAGACACAACATGGGAAAGGCTCTACATTTGAATGCTATATTAAATCCCTTAAGGGGCTACAAAAGCAGACCTATGGCAGCCAACAAAGGAGATAACTACAGCCACTCTGACAACCACTAATAACAGACCAAATGAAAATTGAAAAACGACCCCCAAAATGGAACTCTTAAACACATATGATGAAACAAAGAATGCTGATCAGTCAACATTACTGGCACTAGACTGTTTGGACAAACATTTCAATGAGACTGACCAGTAGTGGTGGTCCGATTAATTGAAATAATCGAAGATTGGTAATGTTTTCTCATGATCGAACACAAACAATTCTGGAACACTTGTTGCATTAACAATGTCTTTCACACAGTTGGTTTTGTCAGTTACATTTCATGAGCACTACAAGCTCGTCCACGTCATGATTGAATTTATCTTAAAGACCCCCAAGAAATTTATGTTCCTAACATGCTAGTCATCCTTTAAAGATGAGCAATTTGAAAAAAACCCAAAACCAAAGAACTACATGTTTTTTCTTTATGTTTTGTGCATTAAGAAACATAACCGGGAAAATCTGATAAATGACGCTAACCAATTATTTTCGATGATTGATCGGTTGTAATGAACCAATCATCAATTATGAGATTTTAACCAATTCCCACAGGGGTGGAAATAACCAATTGCCCGACGTCCGAGTCCAGCGTTTTTTTTCTGTCGGGCAAGCAAATTTGTATATCACGCTGTACCGGTGTCCAGTTGACTTTCCAATGTAAATTATGTTGTTTATTTAAAAATTCAACAAGCAAACGGCCGGTAGAGTGGAAAACTTATCAGGGCAAGTGATTTTACATGTGCCACTGTACCAGAGTACACTAGCAATTTTAAAGTTATTTCCACCCCTGTTCCAACACTACTGACCAGCAGCTCTCTCCGGTGTGTGTAGTATAGGCGCTTGTAGCCATCCATCCATACTTCAGCAAGTCTCATGGAGTTAATGCCGTGAGTGTCCTTGTTCCCTGTAACAGTGACAGTGAAAGAGTTTGGGTCGTTGTTTTACACCACACCCAGCAATATTCCAGCTATATGGCAGTAGTCTGTTAATAATCGAGTCTGGACCAGACAATCCAGTGATCAACAGCATGAGCATTGACCTACGCAATTGGGATACGATGAAAGAGTGTGAAAGAGTTCGGGTTTCCGACCACTTTGATAAGAATTTCCTTTATATTACGGCTAAAGGCCATGGACCTTGTAAGCTTATGGGGGCAGTGAGCCTAGTGGTTGAAGCATCTGCAAGTCTTGCTGAAGACCCAGGTTTGATTCCCCACATGGGTACAATGTGTGAAGCCCATTTCTGGTGTCCCCAGCCGTGATGTTGCTGGAATATTGCTAAATACGGCGTAAAACCAAACTCACTCACTCCCTGTATGCTTAATGAAGTGCTTAATTAATGTCAAGTGATGAGCACACTCGTTGCAATTGGATTTTGCTGACCTGCAGACTAGTGACTTGGTTGACACTAGAGCTGGTATTGGCATACAACCTGAGATACAATACATAACGATCCTAACATTGTAGTCAAGACGATATATTGCCAAAGTATTGTGCACTGAAGCTGCGATATGATACGAATCCCGATATAAGTGTGGGATATGATACATGTACGTATCACGATGCTAACATCTCTAATTCTAACACCAACTATAAAGCACCTTAAGATCACACAAAACCATTTTAAAGTATGTCATCAAATTTCACCACTACTGCAGACCCTCCTCATGTTTGCGGATTACCACTTCAGTGAAACACACAAAGGAGTGTTGCTGACCAACCGTGAAGCATAATCAGGTTGCCTTTGGATTCAACCCCATGATCATAGGTTTCTGGAATGCTTAAAGGATGCAACTCTACATCTAAATGCTCAGACCATGGCACCCCAACATGATATTGCTGAATATTGCTAAAAGCAGTATAAAACTAAATTTACTCACTCATTCAGACCATGAGAACCAAGTCTTGAGTTACATGTCAATAATGGTGTGCATGTGATTTGATGAGCTGAATATTACATATTATTTTAAAACATTAAAATTCAGTTCATACAATTTAACTTCATCCTACCTATGCCAAATTAAGGTTGGTGATAGACATTTGAAAGACATTTAGATCTATGTTGAGCATGTTGTCAATTGGCGAAGTTCATCAAGTGTTATGTGACAAGAAATCACGTAACAGCACACATTCTGACATCATGATATCTGCACAGGCTTATGCAAGCCACTGGCCAACCAGATAGCTAGATTCTTTGATGAGTAATTTTACCTGGGAATGTGTAAGGATGGCTGGAGCGGAATATATGTCCTACTCGAGAACAGGGAATAAACTCTAGTTTTCCTCCACACATCCAGATCTGAAAATATATATGGATGCATCTGAATCTCTGGACACGATCAGTGGTTTGGGCATGATAAATCATGGAACATAATCAGATTTTCAACACAGATACAAAATGGTATAATATAATGCATGAGTGCTTTGTAGGTAACAGTTGGGTAATAAAGAATTCATCAATTGAAATATTAGTGACCAAACATTTTAATGCAGAAGATGCTGCAAATCAATATTTTCAAATTACCATGACATCTATTCTATTATTCCAGAATTATGCCAATCAAATGCCAAAGTCTCTGAAGACTATCACTGGAATTTTACTTTTACAGCTACACACCACAATTTGGTATCCTTGAGCTACTGGACTGTGTGAATTCTGAAGGCTCATATTTCTCTTAAATAACAAATGAGAATATATCATAATTAGGACTTTATGGTCACAACAACTAGATGCCTAGATGCCCCAAAAGACCAGTAGATTTCTCTCTCTGCTTGTCTTTCATCCTCATCAATCCAGAGTAATAATGTCTTCATTCTATTACATTATATACCCTGGGATACACCACTACCTCCATCCCACCAATATACAACTTAGCACAGAATTTCTTTTGCCTATAAGCAGGGGCGGAAATAACCCATTGCCCGACATCCGAGTCCAGTGTTTTTCTCTTTCGGGCAAGCAAATTTGTATATCACACTGTACCGGTGTCCAGTGGACTTTCCAATGTTAATTATGTTGTTTATTTAAAAAATCAACAAGAAATGGCCGGTATAGTGGAAACATTATCAGGGCAAGTGATTTTACATGTGCCACTGTACCAGAGTACACTAGCAATTTTAAAGTTATTTCCACCCCTGATAAGACTAATTTGATTGGATGGCTAATTCATTGTTCCACTTGAATGAGGCTCAAAAAGTATCCAATTTAATGAAATGATTCTTTATCAAAATGGAATGGAGATAAAGTAAACCTGAGAGTCATGATGATGATTTGGAGATGACGATTTCACACAAAGTCTGGATAAACAAGGATACGTTCTCATGCAACTACTAACAAATTCTATCAAACAATGAAACACTCACTCTAAATGATATTTCCAAATTTTCTCCTCCCCAAACCTCCATTCCAGGGTCATACGCCCCAATTTCAAAAAAATATTTTCTGTCTGCAGCAAACAATCCTCCCGCCATTGTTGGAGACCTGCAGGGGAGAAAATAAAAGTCACTCACTGTATTTCTTACAGCTGAAGCTCATTGTCAGCACAGATACTACAGAAACGCACCCTAGCCAAAATATGAATTCAGAAGTATACCCTAGGACGGGTCCATTCTCAATTATGCCGTTTTCTTGATTGGAACTGTCATACTGTTGTATTTAATACATTTGATTGCGTTATATAAGAAACGAGCATACACAGTAACAAATATATATCGCAATACACAATACCACTCGCAGTCAGTTGAACGGGAACAACAACATTAACATTACGGACTCATCTGCCGTTTAGGGTACCATGTATGTTTCGGTATTTTGATTTTGTTTAGAGTACATTTCTGTGTCAGAAATGTACCTGCTGTACACATATGTAGTACCAGTGCCGACAACGACCCCTTCAGCCTTAATTATATAATACACCGAACCCGTTACCATGATGATGAATAATTAATGCATTTTGCACCTTGAAGAGGAGGGACATGATCAAGAAGACATTTCATCAGAGGATAAAGAACAGGGCAGGATACAAAAGACCATTCTGGCCAAAATGAAAAGTGAAATATTAATGACGACCTTGTACTTTCAAAGGATAATTCCTGTTGCAGTTTGAGAAGATATAGACAATTAACAACACACAGACAAGCCATGAATTACACTAACTACTTGGTCAGCTATGATTCACTCATATATTCACTGAATCGAACCTTAAATATTTCTGATTTCTTTAAAGAGAAAAATGAACTAACACTGCCAACATGGTTAAAAACATTGTTGTTGTTTCAATGTATATAATGAATACTTCAGCTGCTAACTTGTTACTGTATTCATTACCTAATACCTGACTGCCTCCGTGGTGTAGTGGTTAGAGCGTCCGCCCGGAGAGCGGAGGGTCGCGGGTTCGATACCCGACCGCGTCATACCAAAAGACGTTAAAATATGGTACTTGTTGGTCCCTGCCTGGCGCTCGGCATTAATGGGTACAACAAGGACTGGTCGGCTCGGAGTCAGTATAATGTGTCTGAGTGGGATATTCATGCTTCACTGAGGCATGGTATCTCCGTGGGCTAGCACTATAAAACCAGCTTAAGTCTGGGCTAGTACAAGCAGCCGCACATACACATACACACACATGCACGTCGTCATATGAGCGAAATATTCTCAAGCACGACGTAAAACCCAATTTCACCTCACCTCACCTAATACCTATTTCGTTACACAATATTCATAATTTCATGTTCAACTCATAGCAGACTGCAGCCCTGCTAATCACAGATTTTGAAAATCTTCTACTTCATGATAGCTAGCTATCAGTAACACAAAGATATTAAATTAGTACCGAACAGAACAGCATAAATAAGATATAATCAATAAGCATGACACTGATACAAGATACATTAGACAAGATAATCATATGTATCATATGTATTCTGTTCACTATAACTACAATAACAGCTGGGTTGGCGGGAGATATTGATCCATACACACCCAACAGGTTTCTATCAATCTGTCACATGTTCTTATTGTCTTGCCAATTTAATGGCAATATTGCATGTTATACGACAGCTGTTACATAGATCAGTGCATTTAGACTACATAAAGAAGTGTTACAATAAATCATGACACAAATAAAGGTGTTAAGTGCTTGACACTTCAGTCTATGAAAACAACACTTTTGAGCTTATTTGCCCAAACTAGGCAACACGTTTCAATGAATAATTATTTCAGGCTATATACTGAAAATTTGCTGAAAATTTATCTAAAATCTCTCCTCCACAAATTTTTCTCTTTTTTTTCTTCTAAAACAATTTAGATAATAAAAATATATATTTGAAATTGGAATTAGAAAAAGATATTAAATATTGAACAACCCGCCAAATGTTTTACACAGAATCCACAACAAATGAATCAAGAAAGTCTGGACTTCAAGTCAGGATAATAACTCAAAAGTTTGGACAAGTGTATTATTCATTATATTATTTGAGAATCCTTAACTGTAACATATTTGTAAAGTTTATTCTAAATCCCATTCTGCTTCATAATCACACATATCATTAAGGTTTCATTTTTAAATCACTATTCAACTTTTGGTAGCAGAACGCTCCGGTTCGTCTGCTTTTGATCGTAGCGGTCCCGCATAACCTCCGTTTAATAGACAAGTACTGTAAGCAGTCTAACGACCTGCCGCCCTTTTTTCCTACACCTATTAAATCTCAGAGAACTCAGATTCGTGTTCTGGCTTTTATTAGACCTGTCTACAAAAGCATAAAGCATACTTTTACCATCTTACAGAGCAGATTACCTAGAACAGTAGGTTACTCATGGTTAAGGTGTTACACATTCTAAATTTCAAAAGAAATGTTACCTAGGTTACCAAGAAGTTAACAGCAACAAAACCATATGCTGTTGTTTTTCTTTAAAATGCATCACTCAGTAATTGAGAGAATAATTCAAAGTTTTATGGACAACAGAAAGCTTGAAATTAGGTACCGGTACTCCTTTATCTCAGACTGTGATGTCACAATGAATAACGTGCGCATTAATGGTTGCATTTCTTCAATGTGTGACCACTAAATGCTTGCTAACAAAGTAGCCTACTTTTTATTTTTGTTCAATTTGATTTTTTTGTTCTTCAAGCAACATATTCAAAAGAATAAAGCATGATGGTTTGACCAAAGCTTTTAAAAGTAATCAAAGACGGAAGTATTCTTTATTCACTTATGTTATCTCAATGAACTCCTGTACGAACTGAACACTTTTAATGCCTCTGAGATATGAATTGAATTTGAATGCCCTGGATCGATTCACTGTATAATGAATAGAAAGTGAAAATAGTAGAAGTAAATAGCTTAGTAGTCCTGTTACGAATCACTATTGTTTTCAGTGTATCGAACAGTTTCCCTTCATCATATTTATTATTATTATTATAAAATATTTATATAGCGCACATATCCAGGCAACTGGTACATGCTCAAAGCACTTCTTTGTTTTTCCTTGAATCATTGGATGTCAATCTCAATGGCACATCATATTATCAATCTCAACTCCCTGGGAGCATACAACTCTTGCAGCCACTAGGCGCACACAGTTATTGTGGCTCTCTCATCCTTATAAGGTACCCATTCACATCTGGGTGGACTGGGACACATAGTCACAGTACTTTGTCCAAAGTTACTGCACGTTGCTGTACCCGCAACTGGGTGTTTGCACGTATTCATGTGGCCACCATCTGGTCATATACCAACAGATTTGTGGGTTTTTTAAGTGCACAGGGTTGTGTACTGTACACTAGGGGTTGTGACAACACTGAAAGAGTCTGCACACAAAGTTGACTCCAAGGTTTTTACACCTGGTCACAGGTGGGTGCGATTCCCGACACTTCAAGCTTGCTGGATCCCTAGCCTGGCGCCTTAGGCAGCTCACCCACCATGCCCCACATGGGCATAAACATAGTGCTAGAACTTGATGGCCCATTCTGCATGTAATTAGTTAGTTTATATCTTCTCTCATATCCACAGTTTTCATCCCACGTGTCAGCCACAACTTCAAGCCTTGTGTACATGTACAGGTGAGTGAGTGAGTGAGTTTAGTTTTATGCCGCATTCAGCAATATTCCAGCTATATGGCGGATGTCTGTAAATAATCGAGTCTGGACCAGACAATCCAGTGATCAACAGCATGAGCATCGCTCTGCGCATTTGGGAAATGTTTACGTGTCAACAAAGTCAGCAAGCCTGACCACCCGATCCCATTAGTCGCCTCTTAAGACAAGCATGAGTTACTGAAGATCAGTTCTAACCCGGACCTTCACAGGTATTACAGGTGAGAGTGTCTGTGTGTGAAAGTTGGTAAATGTACTAAAAACCAGGTTTCAAGTATTTCAACTCTCAATTTCATTCCAAGGATGCTACAGTCTTTTCTGGGCAGAATATTCAATCTCGAGTCCAGAAATAATATAATTACAAAACATGTTACCTGATGGGGTCGATCATAGACTTCCTGCGTTCCCGCTCCCTCTGAGGGATGGGTCTCCAGGAGAAGTGCAGACTCCACCAGAATCCCCCCACAGAGAAGCTTCCTGTGCTCCCATACTGGAGAGTGTCCTTATCAATACTGTCGATCTCCGGGCACAACACAGCCGTATGGTCCTCTTTGATACGGGACAACAATGGCTCCAGCCTGCATAAGAAAAGCAAGTGTTTTTTTACTGATATTGTTTTAGTCAGCTCTGCATTATCATGGCTTACATTAAATACTTTGTTGGTGAACAAGCATCTCAGATAATGTAGCATTAAAAAGAAAGGGTGGGCCTGAAGGCCAGGAGCTTTGAAGCAAGAGTGAGTGAATGAGTTTAGTTTTTTGCCGCTTTTAGCAATATTCCAACAATATTACAGTGTGGACACTAGAAATGGGCTTCACACGTTGTACCCATGTGAGGAATCGAACCCGGGTCTTCGGCGTGACAAGCAAACGCTTTAACCACTAGGCTACCCCACCGCCCCCTGAAGCTAGAGAACCTGAATACGCTGTATAATGTTTTGAACATGTCCTGATCCTGTTACAGGACACAAGTATAATCAGTGATTATGTCTAATGCCTGTTTCACTCAGTGGTTATGTCTAATTAATGAAATTTTCAGTAATTAGACATAATCACTGATATGAACCAGGGCAAATTAGACTTGTTTCCTGAAAGCATATTCTTGGTTATGACTCCTAATGTTTATACTGTACAATGAACCCTTATACGAAATAATACTGTAACAAAGAATAACCATGTTTATTAGGATTAATCTTAATTTACAAGACAACAATAGAACGTAAACAATGGTAAATTACATATTAGGGATCTTTGATGATCATAGGCTGTCATTTGCGCAGAGAGACTGTTGAACGATACATAGATCATTTTGGTCACGGAAACATTTTCCATTTAACATTCCACGCTTGGCGGGATTCAACATTACATCACACTCGTAAATATGGACATTTAGGAGTGTTTGTTTGTACATGGCAGACTTGAGTCACATCTGTAATTGCACTCTAGCTTTGCTTTGAAACATTTGCAGCAGTTGGTTTGACACCGTTTGGCCCCAGCACAGTTGCATCTCACAAATCCTTGGCCACCACAAACTGACTCAAGCTGAACTACTTGAAGTAGAGAGACTGTTTGATCTGTGTCGAAGTCACTGAGGTGATGTTGATAAACCCTGGTCCACTTGTACAATGGACTACCAATGAAGTACCCTCATATGTTGTTGCAACACTTGCTTCTTATTCATACTGAGACACATTGATCTCTTATCTCATTTGAAAACTCAAGAATATGCTTTCAGTAAACAAGCATAATTTTCCCTGGCTCATTTCAGTGATTGTCTAAACAAGGATAAGTTGTAGCGGCATTAGACATAATATACATAATCATGAGGTCAAAAGATTGAGACAGTGACAAATGTACAGCCACACTTCACCAGACCAAAGTATCCTCTTTGTAGTAATGACAGTGAGTGAGTGAGTGAGTGAGTGAGTGAGTGAGTGAGTGAGTGAGTGAGTGAGTGAGTGAGTGAGTGAGTGAGTGAGTGAGTGAGTGAGTGAGTGAGTGAGTGAGTGAGTGAGTGAGTGAGTGAGTGAGTGAGTGAGTGAGTGAGTGTGAGAGAGAGAGAGAGAGAGAGAGAGTGAAATAGGCTTCACATATTGTACCCATGTGGGGAATCAAACCCCAGGTCTTCGGCGTGACGAGTCAACACTTTAACCACAAGGCTACCCCATCACCCCAGTAATGACAAGAATCCTCCTACCATGTTGACTTTCACACTTAATATTGAAGACGAAAATGCACTTACCATCCTGGACTGGCCTCACAATGAGAATCAAGGAAAATGAGGACGTCACCGGTGGCAGCCTTAGCCCCAGCTATCCTGGCTCGGATCAGTCCACTTCGCTCCTTGGTGCGGACAATACGAACAATGCCATCAGGCCACGTCTTGGATACAAAGTCCACCAGCTCCTGGCCCAGACCGGCTGGAACAAAACAGAAGAGGCTTCATGCAAATACAAATCATCAAGGGTCTTGTTCCACAAAGTGTTCTTACGACAACCATTAGCCATGTTAAACTTAAAGCATGGAGTTATGATTATCTTAGCACAGAGCAAAGTTATCTTACGATAACCATTAGCCATGTTAAAATTAGGAAGTTACGATCATCTTAGCACTAAGGAAAGCAATCTTACGACAACCATTAGCCATGTTAAAGCATGAGTGTTACGATCATCTTAGCACTGAACAAAGCAATCTTACGACAACCATTAGCCATGTTAAAGTCAGGGAGTTACGTTCATCTTAGCAATGAGGAAAGTGATCTTACGATGAACATTAGCCATGTTAAAGTATGGGAGTTACAATCATCTTAGCACTGAGAAAAGCAATCTTATGACAACCATTAGCCATGCTAAAGTCCGGGAGTTACGTTCATCCTAGCACTGAGCAAAGTGATCTTACGACAACCATTAGCCATGCTAAAGTCCGGGAGTTACGTTCATCTTAGCACTGAGCAAAGTGATCTTACGATGAACATTAGCCATGTTAAAGTATGGGAGTTACAATCATCTTAGCACTGAGAAAAGCAATCTTATGACAACCATTAGCCATGCTAAAGTCCGGGAGTTACGTTCATCTTAGCACTGAGCAAAGTGATCTTGCGACAACCATTAGCCATGCTAAAGTCCGGGAGTTACGTTCATCTTAGCACTGAGCAAAGTGATCTTACGATGAACATTAGCCATGTTAAAGTATGGGAGTTACAATCATCTTAGCACTGAGAAAAGCAATCTTATGACAACCATTAGCCATGCTAAAGTCCGGGAGTTACGTTCATCTTAGCACTGAGCAAAGTGATCTTGCGACAACCATTAGCCATGCTAAAGTCCGGGAGTTACGTTCATCTTAGCACTGAGCAAAGTGATCTTACGATGAACATTAGCCATGTTAAAGCATGGGAGTTACGATTATCTTAGCACTAAGATTGCTTTGTGGAACCAAGACCTCAATTAGCTCAAAACAGCAAGTGAGGGGCACAGTCTTCACCAAGTGGACAAACTACCGACTGCAGAAAAGTCTGTGATGTACGTGAGGCATCCAGTAACCTTAATGTTAAACTTAAAGTCACTTTGTGGAATAGCACCCAGGTATTAGATGTTCACTTGTCAACAAAGCTACAAGCATATACATATAGATATGCACTACAGTTAATTATAGTGCATCACTGCATCTTGGTAAACATGCCCAAATACCCCTGAATTTCACAAAATAAGGAACTATAAAAATTCAATTTTTTTATACATATTGAATTGGCAGTAAGTTTACAATCCTAGATAAATCTCCCTAACTTAATCTCTTACACACACTCATACACTATAATACTCACTCTTGTGTACTCAGCGTTGTGTAATCACTCACGTGTATTCAAAGACTCACTCGCTCACTTAAAATCCTAATTGTGTGAAAAAATTAACTGACACCAAATTTGGAACCCTAGAAAAATATCTCCCTTGCTCAATCTCTCACACACACTCATAAAAAGTTATATGCTCTTTCACCCATGATCTCGCTCACTCACTCCGACACTCACCTCTGTCGCTGAAGTCATCCAGGAGAATCACTTCATGGAGGTATTCCGGCGGCGATCTGTTTACTACACTATGGACAGTGCGTATCAGGGGTGACCAAGCCTCATTGTGGAATATGATCACAACACTGGCAGTGGGTAGTACCTTCGGATGTACTAGTGTCTTACATCTGTCAAATTTCGAGAAAAGAAATTAAAAAGGGACACATTGTAAATTTGTGCCAAACTAAATGTCCTTCAAAACATGGTCAATCTAGGTACTAAAAAAGGATTTAACATATTTGTTTTACTAATCATAGGTATTAGGAACGTCATGATACATACATTTCATGAATCAATATGTATCACGATACCCATGTCATGATTCAATACGTATCACGATACCCATGTCATGATTCAATACGTATCACGATACCTATTTTCACGGCATTATTGCGTACATTTAGTTACATTTTGAACATTAATATTACATATTTTATAATTGTCCATGAAAAGATCACGATTTTTTATTCTTAGAGAATAAAAAGTTCTAATTTCCCATCTTTGTGCATGACAAATAATCATTTATAACTTTCATGACATCAAAAAACATGATACAATTACAAAATGTAAACGATACATAAACATATTTAAACCGCCACTTTCAAAACTAAATATCGATAAAGTTTTGAAAGAATCGATAATTGTATCGTCTTAGAAAAAGTATCGATGTAATAGGTATTATTCTTTGTATAATAAACACTGCATTTCATTAAAAGAAACATTCACAAGACAGTATGATGGAAATAAAAATATAAAGGGGCAAATCTGGTGATAGCAAACCTATGATCAAGATGTTATTCTGTGGGAATTTCGCAAAATAAACTCGATGATCGACATCAATATCATGAGGCAGATCAAGGATTTTTTAAAAAGAGATTTTGCCAAGGGTTCAGCTAACATATAAGTTGTCAATGGAAATGGGATAGAGTGTGCGACCTTGAATATAAACCTAGTCAAAATAACACACCAATGTACATAGACATCACTTCATGCTAACTCTCTCAATGATGATAATATCACATGATCACTAGTGGTGGTCCGATTAATTGAAATAATCGAAGATTGGTCGCAGTGACTAAACGACCAAGCAATCAATCATGTTTTCTCATAATCGAACACAAACAATTCTGGAACACTTTTTGAATTAACAATATTTTTCACAAGGTTGGTTTTGTCAGTTACATTTCATGAGCACTACAAGCTCGTTTCAAATCATGATTGAATTTATCTTAAAGACCCCAAGAAATCTATGTTCCTAACATACTAGTCATCCTTTCAAGATGTGAAATTTGCCAAAAAAAACTCACAAGAACTACATGTTTTTTCTTTATGTTTTTGTGCATTAACAAACATAACCAGGGAAATTTCATAAATGACGTTAACCAATTATTTCCGATGATTGATCGGTTGCAATGAAGCAATCATCAATTATGAGATTTTAACCAATTCCCAACACTTGACCACCAGGTGCTAAATCTACTTATCACATTTATCAACAGCCAATTATTGTTGACAAAATGACTCTGCACTCTGAATATATTGACACAGCAGTGTCTGTGCTAAATATTTACTGACCACACTAGGATATACAAGGTTGTATATACCTGGTATTTTTGACAACACTATCGCATTGGTCATGGATCTCATTCCTACGCCATAATCAATAATCTTGTAAGTATGCATAGTTTACCTCCAAAACTACAGTAAGTGAAATAGCTTTAATTTCATTATTTAACAATAATATTTTAATTTATGTTACAGATTTCACTAATATTCAGTTTAAACTATGAAATAAGTGAGGTAGTATTTAACACCACATCTGTATTATTTCAGTGAGTGAGTGAGTGATACTGGTTTTACACGCTTTTAGCAATGTTCCAGCAATGTCACGGCGGGGGACACCAGAAATGAGCTCCACACATTGTCCCCATGTGGGGAATCGAACCCGGATCTTCGGCATGAGGGGCAAACGCTTTAACCACTAGGCTACCCCACCGCCCCATTATTTCAGCCACCTTTGAATAAAGAAATACCAATTTGAGGGTAAGGAAAGCACACATGTTAACTGAATGATTCCAGTCACTTACATCCCGAATCAGTGTCAGAGCTGAGATATGGATCCTGTCTGTTCAGGACAGTTACAGCACTTCCTTAGCTACCTTGTCTAAACAAGCCTAGTGTCAATAAACGTCACATGCAGTTGTACACAAACAAACAATCCATAAGGGATAACATGCCCTTGCCATAAAACATATAATAACAAGTCTGGTGAGTTATGTAACCACGTTTAACGTCAGTTATGAATGACATAAACTACGGTATATACGATAGGTGGAGTTTCACGGAACACAATGTATACTCACTCCGGTTCTCGCATGTCCTTTAGGCCCCTGTCGAGGGCTATCTTATCGCTTGCAACTATATTAAACGCTTCCTTAACCATAAGCTTTTCTGCTTTTGCTTTTTCTTCTCCTTCCAAACGAACACCTTCTCCTAATTCACCTGGTCCAGTCCGCTTAAGTTCACCGTTCTGATAATCCATATATCGCTTTTTCCGAAGAGAGAGCAAGTCGTCCGGCGTCTCCCAACTCGTGAAGGCATACCAGTTGCTGTAGATGTAATATATTGCAATAGCCGCTACTGCAAATAAGGCGACAGTCCTCAATTTAATCCTCTTGTAACGTGAAAATAATCTCATTATTGCTGTTACTGAAATATAATAAGTTTGTATTAGACACCTGTCACAAAGTTTCAGAAGTTCGCCATGCTCAATGACGTCACGCCAAGGGTCCATAACTCTAAAATATTCCCTCTATAGCAGACGACAGGCGCTTGGAAATTGCCACGTGTAATATCTTTTACAGATCAATAACCATAACGACCTCGATCCTAGACTTTTGTGATTCAGCAACACTGTACGATTATTCGTCCATGTCATTCATAGCCATACTATAGCTATCATAATTAATATATACAATGTCCCAAATTACTTTGATCGTATTGCCTGGGAGCAGAGACCATAATGAGTTTCTATTATATAATGGTCTCTGCTGGGAGAGGGTCTCTGCTGGGAGAGTGAGAATATGTTGCTTAGCATGCTTTTCGTTCGATGTTCAATTAATATTGTTTGTTGTTTAACGCCATACTCAGAAAGGTTAGAGCTGTATGTCAGCGGTTTGTACATAAACAAGTCTGAACCAGACAATCCAGTGACTGACATTCTATTTGGATTTAAAGGTAAACGTAATAATCCAATCAATGTGGCGATAATAATAATAAAAATATATGTTGTATTAATGTAATAAGAAAGCAGAGAAACTCAATTTTATATAGTTTCAAAAAGTAATAGTAAAATATTATGAAATTTCAAAATTCATTGCGTTTTCTAATTGTAACTATTCAAGTTTTCATTCTTTCTGGTCACCCTTCCATTTACTTTTTAGAAATGCTATAACTGACTGACTGTATATGTGCCTTGTATGTATGTGTACTGTATATAAGAGTACTGTACACTATGTATTTATATCAACACTATTCACTGTACACTTAAAATACTTTCAATTGGAGAACATGAAACTGCTGTAATTGTAACATAAAAATGAAGAATAAAAATAAAATAATAAATAATCCAGCCACTGACACCGTGAGTGAACCTGACCACCTGATCCCGTTAGTCGCCTCTTACGACAAGCATGGGTTGCTAACCCCGATCTTCACTGGTTCATGAGATAGCCCAGTGATAAAATCGTTCGCTCGTCACGCCGAAGACCCGGGTTCGATTCCACGTGGGTACAATGTGTGAAGCCCATTTCTGGTGTCCTCCGACGTGATATTGCTGGAATACTGCTAAAAGCGGCACAAAACTAAACTCACTCACTAATATCAGGTTTTGAAAAGGAGTTTGCATCTGCGAATGATCATGCACCTAGAACAGATTGTGAGCACAACGCGCATATCACGTGTATGAGCAGACGGTCCTTGGCTAAACGTCGAGTTAGTATGAAATAATTCACCTTCGCTTTTGTTTGGAAAGTGACGGTTGTAAGGGAAACGATGCACAGAACATGGCGTGGTGAGGCGTTAGGAATCTGAGACTTAAATTAGCAAAGGAGTTGCATGTACAGCCAAACAAACGGGACACGTAAGTAAACCCGTAGGTCTCATGTTTTTATGCATATAATCGGAGTCCCATACGCCCATATAGTTAGACACGTACACAACTATAGTCACTTATTAGACAAAGGAAGTCGGTTTCCCATAAAAGGAAACAGAGACATAAAATCGAGTTGTTTATTCACTTGCTCTGTTTACTATGGCATGTCAGAGCAATCGAGTGCGCTCGAACGTGTTTGTTTAGAAACATACGAGCATACGGTCTATAATGAAGATTCGCCTCGAGTGTCTACTTGGTTTAACTGAGGGGGCGTCTCAAACTTTGGTAAAACTGATTTGTGTTATTAAATGACTGACTGACTGACTGAGTTTAGTTTTACGCCGATTTTAGCAATATTCCAGCAATATCACGGCGGAGGACACCAGAAATAGGCTTCACACATTGTGCCCATGTGGGGAATCGAACCCGGGTCTTCGGCGTGACGAGCCAACGCTTTAACCACTAGGCTACCCCACCACCCCGTTATTAAATGAAAACACAATGCAAGGAAATTTACACTTTTAGTCAGAGGGGGACACATGTCAGTTCTCAGATTTCCACATTTGTGGAAGCCGAGGCAGCTGAAGGGGTTAGATCGCGGTATTTCTGGACTGGCGATCAGACGCCTCACTCTGAGTGAGGGTTCGAATCCCGGGTAGGTCTCAACCGAAAAAGTACTAGAATATGTACTTAACTGTGAAAGAGCAATGTCGAATATAAGAAATGTTACATCATTGCGGTATTGTTTAGTTTTGGAGCAGCTATAAAGGTTGAGTCAAGATCTGTGAAAGTGAGTGAGTGAGTTTAGTTTTACGCCGCTTTTAACAATATTCCAGCAATATCACGGCGGGGGACACCAGAAATGGGCTTAACACATTGTACCCACGTGGGGAATCGAACCCGGGTTTTCGGCGTGATGAGCCAACGCTTTAACCACTAGGCTACCCCACCGCCCCAGATCTGTGAAAGATGGAAAAGAGGTGTGAAATCAGAACATCCACTTCACATCTTAAAAGGGGCGGTGGGGTAGCCTAGTGGTTAAAGCCTTAACTCACGCCGACGACCCAGGTTCGATTCCTCACATGGGTCCATTTCTGATGTCAACTGCCGTGATATTGCTGGAGTATTGTTAAAAGCGGCGTAAAACTAAAATCACTCACTTAAAAGTGGCGGTGGGGTAGCTTAATGATTACGCCGAAGACCCAGGTTCGATTGTTCACGTGGGTACAATATGTGAAGTCCATATCAGGTGCAGCTTCCGTGATATTGCTGGAATTTTCTGAAAACTTGCCTCACTCGCTCAACTCTTAAAAATGGAATTGGTTCTCTTTCAATTATTATCATTCTAAGGATATAATTAATATTTCTTAACAATACCGATGAGTGTTAATTCAAGTTCAATACCTCCTGGAATAGTCTCCTTGAGTATTTTGAGATGTTTCTGAATATCGTGTGTCACACTGGGAACTGTTATATTGTCTTATAATCTCTTTTATCCCCAGGTGAAACAGAAGACCCTGATATGAAGAGGGCGTGTCAAAATATAGTTTGCTCCGGGACATATAGGGTGTTCACTCGTGAATTAACTGAGTTGGCCTACTGGTTGGTAGGGATTTGGCCATAAATCCAAAATTATATTGTGATATATCTTTATTGGGTGGGTTATGGTTAACCTCTTGTCTGTTTAATGCCGCACTAGGAATCGTCCAGTTTTATGACGGCAGTCGGTAGATAATCGAGTCTGGGCCAGACAATCCAGTGATTGATGTTATGAGTAACGTCCCACCTAATGAGAGATGTGACGTAAGCAGCGATGTGACGTAATCAACCAATTTACCAAGTCTGACCTCCAGGTCCAGATTGACGGGTGATTAGCAGTTGGATTGGTGGGGAGCCAAATTCCTCGGGAATCCCCACGTCGTTTTCAGAGAAGTGTGAGAGAGAGAGAGTGTGAGAGAGAGAGAGAGAGAGAGAGAGAGAGAGAGAGAGAGAGAGAGAGAGAGAGAGAGAGAGAGAGAGAGAGAGAGAGAGAGAGAGAGAGAGATGATTTTCATGGAATACCATGTACAATGTGAAGCCCCCCTAAAAATAATGTATAAGGTAATGTATAAGGTAAGTCACCCCTCACCCACCCCCGCGTGTGATATATAAATTAATCAGTACATGTGTACAATAGCGTGTCTCCGTCTTTTTATCATTATCTAATACTCTTTGGCCAGGTGCACGTGTATTTATTTTGAATACATATGTAAAACATGCAAATACGCTCAGATGCATAATTTCTCTACAGTGTATAAATTGTTAACGCATACATGCAAATAGAACGGTTATGACTATTATTAAATGTATGGCATACTGTGAAAGTGAACTTTGCAGCTGTTGTTATCATTATGTTCCAATTTCATCTGTAATCCTGGGTTCTCGGCCCGGAGTGCGGAAGGTCGCGGGTTCGATCCCCAACCGCGTCATACCAAAAGACGTTAAAATATGGTACTTGTTGGTCCCTGCCTGGCGCTCGGCATTAATGGGTACAACAAAGACTGGTCGGCTCGGAGTCAGTATAATGTGTCTGAGTGGGGTATTCATGCTTCACTGCGGCATGGTATCTCAGTGGGCTAGCACTATAAAACCAGCTTCAGTCTGGGCTAGTACAAGCAGCCGCACATACACATACACACGCATGCACGTCGTCATATGAGCGAAATATTCTCAAGCACGACGTTAAACCCCATTCCACCACCACCACCTGGGTTCTCGGAAGAACTAACTAGAACAAGAGGGTGTGTTTGATGAGGTTCTTTGTGACGATGTCATATTTAGAGATGACAAGACTTGACCTTATGGATGATCAACTTCTTTATTTTGACAATGGTGACGTTTCGGTATAGATTCTTATACCGTTTTCAAGCATATCTTGACATGTATAAGAATCTATACCGAAACGTTGTCAAAATAAAACAGTTGATCATCCATAAAGTCAAGTCTTGTCATCTCTATACCAACACCTTCCAGAATGCCACTCAAACAAATCAGATGTCACATTTGACAGATATGGGTGAGGTGCAGCACGTCAATTGATGCGACTTTCTTTGATCCATAACCCGAGCCCCTCTCTCTTACAGATTCTCTCTCCCCGTCTGTCGACATGTAAGTAACAAAAGTCGTACATTCCACATGAGACTGATGCGGCTTAAACCAGGAAGTATCGGTACATGTCACCAGCAATGTCACACGGATGTGAACGTCCCACTCCTGGAGTTGAAGAAAAAACATAATAGGCATATTTTTTCTATGACCTTAGAAACTCAGCTAAGGGACCGTTCATAATTTATGGCTAGGGATTGGGGTTTAGGGTTTGGTTTTGGTTTTGGTTGGGATTGGGGTTTTAGTTGGCGTTGGCGTATGGGTTGGGGTTGGGGTTTTAGTTGGGGTTGGGGTAGGGGGGTTTTAGTTGGGGTTTGGCTGGGGTTTTGGCTGGGGCTGGGGTTGGGGTTTTGGTTTGGGTAGGGGGTTTGGCTGGGGTTGGGGCTTGGTTGGGGGGGTTTTGCTGGGGTTGGGGTTTTGGCTGGGCTGGGATTTTGGTTGGGGCTGGGATTTTGGTTGGGGCTTGGGTTTTTGGCTGTGGTTGGGGTTTTGGTTGGGGTTGGGGGTTTTGGTTGGGGTTGGGGTTGGGGTTGGGGTTTTGGGCTGGGGTTGGGGTTTTGGTTGGGGTTGGGATTTTTGGCTGGGGGGGTTTTGGTTGGGGGTAGAGGTTTGGTTGGGGCTGGGATTGGGGTTTGGGTCTGGGATTGGGATTGGGGTTTTGGTTGGGGTAGGGGTTGAGGCTGGGGTAGGGGTTTTGGGTTGGGGTTGGGGTTTTGGTTGGGGTAGGGGTTTTGGTTGGGGTTGGGATTGGGGTTGGGGTTGGGGTTGAATTATAAATTATGAACGGTCCCTACTTATGTTTCGGTTAATTAGACTGAGAATTGTCACCATCAATGTCATACGGATGTGATCGTCCCGCACTTTCTGCACTTGAAGAATAAACATGTTACCTTTTTGACTTTGACAATTATGTTTTGATTATTTTAGACTGAAAATTGTGAGAAACAAGACATGTTACTGGTCTTCGCTAAGAAGAAAATAAGACGTATTTACGTGTTTTTGTTTGTTTCTTTTTGTTTTTTGTGTTGTTGGGTTTTTTAAAATGGCGTACGAGAGGGGACATCGATCGCTTCATTGAGTATAATTACAGAAGACAGCTTATTGCTTCATTGAGTATAATTACAGAAGACAGCTTATTGCTTCATTGAGTATAGAAAGCTTCTGAGCTTCAGAAACGACATTTTTAAAATGGAAAAAAGATGTCTTTTGCACACACAGCGACTGGGTTTGGTAAAATAGTCATCGATACACAGTGCAACGAGAAACCCAATAACTAATAAATAATCCGTAATTAATATGTAATATACAATCATAATATAATACAAAGATAATAACTTAACAAAAGACCAACGTTCCATCCTAGCACCGACAAAACAAATCGATTATCATCGTGAATTATTTGTTACGCATGGATCAATAAAGGGAGATAACTCTACTGAACGTATCTCCCAAAGCGTGTGACGCATGAATGAAATACTTGGCTGGCTTCCAATATAACGTTTCAAGCTGTTGTGCAATATCCAGTGAATGTAAACATTAGCAGTACTCACTAAACGAATGTATGAACACGACAAAACAATTTCTGTCTTTTGTTTTAAAGATTTCGCAGTTGAATTAACAGAGAAAATATTGATTTCTATACTGTACACAACTCGTTTAAATCGATCGATAATTTGATCAACATCAAAATTACGGACAGAGTGGTATGTTCGTATATCGATACTGGTTTGATAACATACTAACTTTATATGGTATACCATCAAACGTCAATCAGTTTAATGAAAAATGATTTCATATTGATCAAGCGTACTTGAGCATCGCTATACTCGCAGCAATATTTCGGAGCTGAAATTGGTCGGTTTCGTCTCGTTCGAAGCAATCCTGGTCGGTTTAAACAGACTCGGGCAGACATAAACCGGTTCTCCTGTATATAACGGGCGGGAGGTACTGCGTATTTTCACAGCGCTCATTTGTTCAAGAACGAACGTCAAATCTGTGTCGGACGCTTGAAGGAAATTGTCTGAAATGGATAAGTCAATTCCTACGTTTAAGCTGGTTCTAATCGGAGACGGATCAGTGGGCAAAACGACTTTTTGCAAGGTAAAATTATATATTTTTTTTGATAATTGTTTTTATGATTGTTAAGGACTTATACCGTCAACAGAAATGTTACTACAATAAACTGATACTGTACATCTATGTGCCCTCTTTGCTAGTTCGTACTATACATATTATATTTAGAATATGATACAGGTATATCTTCCTTATGTCTAGACTACAGTTATAAATTGTTTAACCTGTCAAATCTTATATATTAAAAATTGAAATGGCATTTACTGAAAGAAGTCCGTCGTTTAGTGCTTTCTGTTCTAAAAGTAATCTATCTCTATTCGTATTTTCATCCACGTAACTTTAGTAAACGCATATGTTTATTGTTATTGTTTGACGGATGATTCCCGTTACACACAGTACTGACACTCTCAGGCCTGTTTGTATGCAGAACATCCCACACAGGAAAAACCCACTCCTAACGTAACGTGAGCTTGAGTGAACAGTTAATGAGCAAGTCAACATTACAGCGATATCTATCAAAATTATTTCCTGCTTGTGGGACTCATTTGCATATTTATTGGATGGGTTTATGACAAATTATCCATTGTATGATAAAATTGTTTTATTATATTCTTAAGGGTGAAATACTGTAAATATTGGTGAAAATAAAAATGGTATTTTTACTGAGTAGAATATCACTTTTGCCTGGAACTACGAAATGCCATGAACTACGTTTTTGCCATTAACGAAATGATCGATGTCTCGATCATTTATAAACAATGATCAAAATATTATAAATAGAATATTTTGTTAATGTTGTCAAATATCATGTATATTTCATCGAGTGGTCTGACAAAGTTGATATGTTCACTCGTGGCGCAAAATATCCTCTATATATTTCCTGGGTAATTTCAACTAGTACTTTCTGGTTGAATGACGCAAAGCTAACAACAGTTGATCCTATCATAAATCATGTATATAGAGGATGGCAGAAGGTGGTTGATAGTGGCAGTGAGTGTGGTTTTACGCCGCTTTAAGTAGTCATGGGAATACGGGAATTACAATACAAGTATGATTGTAAACACAGGTTTGTTAGTTACATATTTTACCTTGAAATGAGGCTGCAAATGTACACAGCTCTAAATATCAGGTCCCCCTTGCGCAAATCGATATTGTCAGTCCTAAAATAAGGGTGGTACGGTGGTATTTTGGATATGGATAATATCGAAGTAAACGATCTTATCTGATTGAAATGTATCTAGTATTGAATACTGATAATACGAATACACATTCAAGCACTTAGTGAGTGAGTGAGTGAGATTACATTTTACGCGACATCGGCATTATTTCAGAAATATTGTGCCGACAGAAAGTCTGACTGACTGACTGAGTTTGGTTTTACGCCGCTTTTAGCAATATTCCAGCAACATCACGGCGGGGGACACCAGAAATGGGCTTCACACATTGTACCCATGTGGGGATTCGAACCCGGGTCTTCGGCGTGACGAGCCAACGCTTTAGCCACTATGCTACCCCACCGCCCCACGACAGAAAGTGATACATTAAGAATGAATATATTTATACTATGTAAAAACCTGTCATGGAGGGACAGTGTAAATAGTAAATTATCACAGTCCATATTTAAATCTAGTTTGAGATCATTTTACAAACATTCAATCATCATTCTACAACACAATATAGGGTACCATTCATGATTTATTGCTAGGAGGGTGATGATTTTTATGAAGCTTGTACAATGTGAATGACCCCTAAAATGTATGTACAAAGTAAATGACACCCCCCATGTCATGTACAAAATCAATGACCACCCCCTCCCATATTTTTAAGCATATTTTTTCAATATTGCCTTGAACAAAATTGCTGACCCCCTTATCTCCCCAGAACAAAATGGGTGACCCCCCTTGAGATCGTCACATCAAACACCCCCACCCCCAATAAAAGAGCGCCATAAATTATGAATGGTCCCTAAAATCGGGCAATAATAGATCTCCAGCAGCCACATTAATTATAGTTCCAGACAAACTAAGTAGTATTGACAAAGTCACACGTGGCTAGCGAACAGTGAATCTATTGAATTAATCCCGACAGTCATGGGCAATCATCTCTTTATACTTATTTAAAAGCACCTTAAGAGGCACTTACTATTGCCAAGAAGATTGGCGTGTGCGCGTCCGCGTGCCCGTGTGCGAGTGCGAGTGCGAGTTAGTTGGCTTTAATGCTGCCGTGAACAGTTTTCAAGTCATTCTCATCGGGTCGGTTTAATGAGGGTGGATGTGTTTCAGACGTTCATTTCTTTGATGAAAATTGGGATCAGGAGTATATATAGTTTTGAAAAAAAAGTAGGGGAACTTCATTTTTAATTTACGATTGAAAAAAATGGGAGATATATCGGAGTCAATCAATGTTGATATGATGATGGACTGGTTTATCTGGACTTGCCTGTTATAAGGATGTACTATGTGTTCATTTCTTACAACCTTGCCAGCGAGGTAGTCTGAGTTTGAATCTGGTCCCCTGCAACCCGACCTATGCCTGATCACGTTCCATGAAGCTTTACGACTGCTGGCTCCATAGTACATGTGCCTTGTGTGTCGTGACACTACTTTGTTTTTCATAACTATCATTTTTGTCGGCAGCGCCACCTGACGGGTGAGTTCGAGAGGAAGTACATTGCGACTGTGGGAGCTGAGGTCCACTCGCTGCTGTTCCACACCAACCGTGGTCCTGTGAGGTTCAATCTGTGGGACACTGCTGGACAGGAGAACTTTGGAGTGCTCCGTGACGGATACTACATTGGGGTAAGATGACTCGTCAGAGTGAGTGAGCTGGTGAGGTGAGGTGAGGTGAGTGAGTAGATGGGTGAGTGAATGGGTGTATGAGTGAGGGCGTGTGTGGTGTAACAAAGTGCTGAAACAAATGTAGATTAATTTGAGCAAGTTGAGTGAGTGAAAGAGTGAGTAGGTGAATGGGATTTGAGTGAGTGATTGATTGAGTGAGTGAGTGAGCTAGTGTCCGTGATTGTAACTTGGTGGTAAAGCAAATATTGTGGGTGTGAGTGAATGAGGGAGGCGTTGATGAGGTTGTAAAACAAATGTACAGAATTTTCTGGCAATAACCGATTGATGATTAAAGTCTTTGGGGGTTGTTAACTGGTATTCGCATGTATATTCTCACTACTATAATGGAAATACCACAGTGGGTAGCACTCAATGCTTGTCCAGGGAAGGTTCGTTGGTTTGTTGTTTAATGACGTACACAGCAATATTCTAGATTTATGGCGGCGATCTGTAAATACTTGAGCCTAGACCAGACAAACCAGTGATCAACAGCATAAGCATCGATCTACGCAACTGGGATGACATGTGTCAACCAAGCCAGCGAGCCTGAGCCCCGATCCCGTTAGTCGCCTCTTACGAGAAGCATAGGTTTCTTAAACCCAAGTTTAGCGCGGATCTTCATGGGTTTGTCCAGGAAGGGAATCTGGTGGTAACAACAGGCTGACCTGGGCCAATCTCCCACGACTCGAATTGTAGCTATTGCTATCAGCCACTGGTTTGTTTGGTCCAGATTCGACTCATGATGCTGAAATCTTTTAACTAATCCCTATATCCTTCATGTCTTCCGCAGGCACAGTGCAGTATCATCATGTTCGATGTGACGGCCATGACAACCTACCAACACGTTCCTGATTGGTGGAGAGATCTTGACAGGGTGTGTGGCAAAATACCCATAATGCTCTGCGGCAACAAGGTCGACGTCCGAGAACGGAAAGTCCGATCAAGGATCATCAAATTCCATCGCAAGAAGAACTTGATGTACTGTGACATCAGCGCAAAGAGCAACTACAATATCGAGAAGCCGTTCCTCAGCCTGTTGAGGAAGTTAGTGGGAGACTCCAAGCTGGAATTTGTGTCCGGGCCATGTCACCCCCCACCGGAGATCAGCATCGACAAGGATACTCTAGCCAGGATGGAAAAGGAACTAGAGGATGCAACTAACATGGCTCTTCCTGAAGACGATGACGATCTGTAGTGTTGCAATCTGCAACTGGTCACTGCACTGGCAGTCTTACACCAAGGCATTCGATACATGGGTCTTTGGTTAAAATGGTTGCATGGGTAGAAAATGACACAGATCCTGGGTAGCCCAGTGGTTAAAGCGTCCACCCGTCACGCTGAAGACCTGGGTTCATCTCGACATGAGTACAGTGCGTCCATCCTTGATACACCAATATAGCTGGAAAATAGCTCAAGTGGGGTGTAAACCAATACTCGTTCAACTGGCTGAACGAAACAGGGACAAGGCATTTCTTCAAGTGCCAGGCGTCATGCAAACGAAAAGATGAATTCTACGATCAGGACCAAGTCTACTTTTGTTCTGGTTTTGCATGTAGACAATAAAGTGGTGACATATCCATGACACAGACTGAGTATTCCTCCGCCTTGACTGATGGTTGTGATGGATCAGTCATGTTAAACATGGGTCTTTCGTTTCCTACCTCATTAGGAAACTCTTACCTTTCAATGAACACCTGGCTAACGGACTATTTCAACAAGCACCTGCTGTCCTGAGGAAACAGTCATCAGAAACACTAACGTCCTTGTTCTGAATTTATATTTACTGTGCAATTTGATCTGTCCATAATAGTTTCAAATGATGAATATTTTCAAAGGAAATTACTAAGAATGTATTTGTGTAAACTCTGTCACAGAAACATGAATTCCAAAATATCACCGATTCAATATTACAGTGATTGAAAGACGGTCTGTTCTGGCTTGGGTGTTCCCTTTCCTTCCTTGTTCTGGATTTAATATGAAATACATGCATGAAACTGAAACACTTGTGTTATTATTTTTAAACATTACTTGCTACATTGATATACATTCAAACTAAAATTTAGCAAGCAAATGCAGTGGTGTTTTAGGACTTTCTAGAACTTGCTGGGACTGCGAAGTTGCCCCAGTCACGTCCATATTTAAACAATGTTGTGGATGAGTTGGTCCGAACAGTCGAATCAATTATTATTATTCTTCATCAAATCAAATATTATTATTCTTCATCAGTCCTCAAGGCTCCCCTTTAATATTGTACGTGGCATTAAATTTGCATGCCTCAAAATGTCATGATATACAGGTCAGGGGTGGAAATAACTCAAAAATTGATAGTGTACTCCGGTACAGTGGCACATGTAATGTCACTTGCCCTGGTAATTTTCCCACTATACCGACCGTTTTATTGCTAATTTTTTTAAATAAACAACATAATTAAACTTGGAAAGTCAACTGGACACCGGTACAGTGTGATATACAAATTTGCTAGCCCCACAGAAAAAACACTGGACTCGGACGTCTGGGCAATGGGTTATTTCCACCCCTGCAGGTCATGTTAACTTGTGAGTCAATGAGTTGGCTTTAACATCTGGGTTTTACCCTGACTCTGGTTATCAGCTTTAGGTGTCCTTGTACTTGTAGGCAATGCGAGGGTCCTGTGAAGTAACACCATAGAGAACTGTATGTTTTGATAATTTCTTTAGAGCCTGGAATGAATCATTGATCATATGGACTGGTGGATGAAATGATGCAGTAACTGCTCTGAAAGAAACAACAAAAAATAATATTGTGCATCCCTCAGGTTGCAGTGAATTTTTCCTGCGTCCATTCTCTACATTTGTATCGATTCATGAAACTTATGTATTGTGACATCCCTATTGGCGAGTCAGTAACTTGATTTAATGCTGCTTTGAACAGTATTCCAGTTACTTCTCACCAGGCCAGCACAATGCAAGAGGAAAGGCTGAAGAGATGCAGGTCTTAACCCTTTACATTACGACTTAAGTTAGACCCACAACACAGGAGTGAGTGAGTGAGTGAGTATGGTTTTACGCCGCTGTTAGCAATATTCCAACAATATCATGGCGGGGGACACCAGAAGTGGGCTTCACACATTGTACCCATGTGGGGAATCAGCGGTCTTCAGCGTGATGAGCCAACGCTTTAACCACTAGGCTACCCCACCGCCCCCCACAAAACAGGAAGACAATAATCCCGACAAAACATGATTTGAATTCACTGTCATAGCTTCCTTACATATCTAAGAGATGCAACTGTTTGCATCTTTGCCAAGCACTTCTGGTGCCTTAGATGATATGAAATACTGGCAACTAATAATCATTAAAGGCTTTGCAATATAAATAAAGGCAATATAAAGACAAAACAAAATATATGCAATATATTTGTATATAATATATACCATGACACAATATATTCAAATCAATAAATGATATCCATAAAATAAATTCACAAAGATTTAGACATCCACAAGTTCCAACCCTTGTCCTGTTACCAGCAGGATTGAGCAACATGATGGATTGTAAGATTCATTTTTTCTATTTCTTTCCATCCTGACAAGTTACAGTAACTGTTATGAGGTGTGTAACCTAAAGACAAATAAAGAGGAACAATTTGTATGGATAGACAACTTTTGTTTTGCAATAGATGCAAAATTTGGTGTAGATGATAACACCGTTATCAAAGGTTAGCAGTGTTAGTATCTACACTGAAACGTTGCATCTACTGCAATAAAGAAGTTGTTTATCTATAAACATTGTTCCTCTTCATCATACAGCTTCTAAATGCCACTTACAGAAGTTAAAGACAAATATACTTGAAGAAACCTAAGGGAACGGGACATATCACATGGGCCTAGTTAGACCATTTGCAGGAATGAATTACAGTTTTGATTATCATCTCAAACATATTCAACAGTGACAACACGCCATCGTGACTTCACTGGCTTGTATACTGACTGACTGACTGAGTTTGGTTTTACGCCGCTTTTAGCAATATTCCAAGCAACATCACGGCAGGGAACACCAGAAATGGGCTTCACACATTGTACCCTTGTGGGGATTCGAACCCGGGTCTTTGGCGTGACGAGCCAACGCTTAACCAATAGGCTACCCCACTGCCCCGCTTGTATACACTATGTAACTCCATACTTGCAAATCTAAACAGCAGTTTTCGGTATTTTTACCAATAGCCATGCCATGGTCTGTTTCTCAGAAGATGGCAGGGACATGGTATAAATGGCAATGTTTATCACTTGACAGTATGTGACCTTGGAACCATCAGCTCATCACTTCGCTTGATTTCAACGGAAGAGTTAACAAAGCCACCACTCAAACCAAAGGGAAGTAACTCTGGAGTTGTTCATGCAGCAGTTCACCCACACTGCTGATTGGAAATTTAGCTGTATTAGATTTCTGACTCATGATTTATGTTGCTTATTGTAATAGGAGTATCAATGATTAGCAACTGTTTATTAATTTTGAATTTCTATGAATACTGTACATTCACAGGGCAAACAAGTGCAATACACTGATTGGGTTTTATGCCCCTTTTAGCAATATTCCAGCAATACCACGGCGGGGGACACCAGAAAGAGGCTTCACATATTGTGTCTATGTGGGGTACTGAACCCGGTTCATCGATGTGACATACAAATGCTTTAACCACTAGGCTACACCACCGCCCCTTGATTGTTTGATACATCATTACACTCCTACACTGCAGGGCCTTATTCAAATACACCTATATGGCAGCGGTCTGTAAATAATCGAGTCTGGACCACACAATCCAGTGATCAACAGCATGAGCATTGACCTGCGCAATTGGGAACCGATGACATGTGTCAACCAAGTCAGCGAGCCTGACCACCCCATCCTGTTAGTCGCCTCTTACGACAAGCATAGTCACCTTTTGTGGCAAGCATGGGTTGCTGAAGACCTATTCTACCCCGGATCTTCACGGGGTCCAAATACACAGGTAATGGAGGGACATAGTGTATACAAATGTGCAAGATTAAAGATTGTGGCAATATTTAGCTTCGGGGACAACATCGCAGACTGCATTGGTTAGGTCATCAGCGACTTCATGGTGGTCACATGCGGTGTATGGTGGAGTGGTCATTGTGTTGGTCAACGTTGTCGAGATGCTCCCACCAGCCAAACAGGAACTTGTCTGCGACAAGACGGAACCAGGGGGTGAGAAGGATCCCTTCAGCATCTGCTTTTGCTGAAAATTCAAACAGTCAATGAGTGAGCATGGATGTATGCCTCGTTTAGCAACATTCAAGCAATATCATAGCGGGGCTACCAGAAATGAGCTTCATATATAGCACCCAAAAAAAATAATCGTGTACACTTTAATCATCAACTGTTGCACGTCAGCATTCAACTTCATTTTTCATCAGGCATGTGTATCCCGTGCACGACGTGATAGTGGCTGTTCCGTTTCTGCGGTTTCACCCCGCTGTGACAGATAACAACTTTTGCGTTTTCAATGATGATAGTTTCTTAAAGAACTTTTTTGGTGGAGTCCGGAAAATTTTCAAATATAAGAAAGCTGTTGTGTATTAGTAAACGATACTATTTATATTTATGTGGCAATTTTGTACAATGATAAAATTTGCAATTCATCGGTCCGTTTCTGACTCAAACGGACTGAAGTAGGCTCCAACATTGCCCTTAACAGTCAATGAAGTTTTAATAAACTTAAGTATGATTACATCGGAAAAAATAACAAAGCCAGTGTTCACGAATAGCATCAGACCCTCAGACAAATCCGGCAGATTTGCCAACGGTCTGATGGAAGTCCAACCCCAACGTCCAACTGTATAGTTCACAATGACTTTGACTGAAGTTGTTACATGTGACATGTCATACTTGTTTGCTGTTTATATAGTTTACATTTGTTAATAATTTCAATGCCAATTTTAAGAAATGTTTAATCTGAACTTTTAAACACCATTCGTGACCACTGCAAAGCACAGCATAACTGAGCACGATAATACAGTTAATTACCATACTAAATTATCATTTACAGTGACTGATTGACTTGTGGCTCATGCTGTCAGTCACTGGTTTTGTGAGAGTGATTGGTTTTATGCCGCTATTATAATATCTGAACCAGCAATTGGCTGTGAACAATGTTATTGAATGTGAGTCTTCGGAATGACAAACGTACATTTTGACCAAGAGGCCAATCCACTATCTCTTATTTGTATATGATCCCCTAATTCTATTGATTTAGTGACCTTAACATGCTAGTGACATTTAAAACTATTTTGATAAGTAAAATAACCTCAAATTATTTTTGATGGATTGAAACATATTGACTGTATTTATTAAGAGATGTGTGTGGCCCTGTGCGTAGAGCTCAGATCACGAATCAGTTGAAGTCAAACAACGTCAAACTTGGACAGTTCTTGGATGGGTGACTGTGTTTGGCAGCTTGACTCCTGAGAGTTTCTAGGATGTTAGTCCTGCCCCATAACAAAGCACATGTGATTCATGTGGTCTCACCATAGGCAAGTGAGTTTGTTCAAAATTGCCTCTGTTCACCCAGCAGAAAATGGGTACCCGGTTGGATAAAGTCATTTGACTATAACCTTCTAATGCCTAACAGGCAGCTTGGGTTATCCGGGGTAATAATCAGATTCTGATTACAGCGTCCCGTGAGCAACTAGTCAGATGGATACTAGGCGCTATATAAATGAATTATTATTATTATTAAAGTCTTAGATGTCAAATCAAGCTATCTTCTAAGCACTACAGAATTGCTCCACAAAGCATATATGGTGCTGCAACAGTCAAAGTAAGGGAGTTACAACCAGCTTAGCACTCTGATCACTTTGTGGGACACACCGGAAAACCAGCAAGGACTATATGTAACTCAAACAGCAAATACTTCACATGGAATTCACAACATAGATGGCGACAAACCTATTAATTCTTTCAAATCCTGTTTACTGACAAACTTGTAGTCCTTTACTTCATTCTCATTAGGAACTACGTCAACATCTCTCTGTGACAACAAGATGTAGTCGATCTCGTGCTCCCCCCACGTCTTGTCGTCGGGCACGTTGTTGGAGCGGTAGTGAATTCTAGTGAGGTAGTGGAAGCCGTCAACAGGCACCTGCAGGATAAGGCAAATTCCTTGATAAATATATCAGCAAAATTATGACATAATAATTCTTCCTCCGTAGAAACATTCTATTACGTTTTCAAAAGCCGAGGAAGAATATATTCTGATAACTTGTAACATGGTTGTAACATGAGTGAGTGAGTGAGTGAGTGAGTGAGTGAGTGTGTGAGTGAGTGAGTGAGTGAGTGAGTGAGTGAGTGAATGATTTTATCGCAGCTTTGTGTAACAATCAATTCTTTTCAAAGAAACAGGATTCCTGCATAGTACCCACATCCTTGTCATGACCAGCTAATGCTCAAAGCACTTAAACTACACCAAGGGAGGCAATGTCTATGGAGACTCAAGCACACATTTATTCAGCATCAAGATGCTGCACTGTGTGACTTACACATATTGTACCCATGTGGACAATCAAACCTGGGTCTTCGGTGTGACACGTGGATGCTGTAACTATGGTACACTACAGTTGTTTCAAGGACATAGTCTGAGAAACATTCACAATTGTTAGTCAAGCATTTGTCAACTGAAATTTGGAATTTCCATTGCCCATTTACAGACTACCACTGTAATGCTTAACTGCTACAACTGTCTAACTTATGGTTTTTTCGACAGCAATCACAGAGCTGGGAACCCCATGTTTCAGACAGTGGTTACTTGTAATTTCTTCCTAGTCCTCTGTTCTAATATGGCCCTTTCATGGTAATGATAGTTTCAGGATTGTGATAATCAGATTTTAGTTGTTTTGTTTCAAAAGTGATCATTCGCCAAGCCTCGGTTATTTCCACTGTCTTCGGAAAACTAGAACCCTTTCCACTCGCCATGCTTAACTGCACAAACAACTCTTATAGACAGAACTCAGTCATGTAAATGTCGGATCAATGGCGTCTCCATTGACAGCGGCTAAGCTAGCCATTAAGTGTCTTGTGTGTCACATCAACACAAGTTCCTGGCAGAGGAGAGATATTTGTGACCCAACATTTGCTTGTTTTAGTCAAGTTGATGTAACACATGTTCTGATTGGACAGAAAGAAGGGAGATAACTTGTGTTGACATTTTTTGCCGCTAGGGGATTTTACGAGAATCGGGAAATATGACTGTCTTAGAACAGAGGTCCGTAGGAAGATATGACAAGTAACCTCTGTGGGAAGAGAATGGGGAAACCCATACCTCAACATTTAGAAAATGTCTCCACATACAAAACTATATGGTCATCGTGATTCCCATATTTACAAGACTATATGGTCATCATGATTCCCCATATTTACTATACGGTCACTATTCCCATTTACTATATGGTCATGTGATTCCCATATTTACAAATCTATATGGTCATGTGTTCCCATATTTACAATTATATGGTCATCGTGATTCCCATATTTACTACTATGGTCATCGTGATTCCCATATTTACAAATCTATATGGTCATCGTGATTCCCATATTTACAAGACTATATGGTCATCGTGATTCCCATATTTACAAGACTATATGGTCATCGTGATTCCCATATTTACAAGACTATATGGTCATCGTGATTCCCATATTTACAAGACTATATGGTCATCGTGATTCCCATATTTACAAGACTATATGGTCATCGTGATTCCCATATTTACAAGACTATATGGTCATCGCGGATTCCCATATTTACAAGACTATATGGTCATCGTGATTCCCATATTTACAAGACTATATGGTCATCGTGGATTCCCATATTTACAAGACTATATGGTCATCGTGATTCCCATATTTACAAAACTATATATGGTCATCGTGATTCCCATATTTACAAGACTATATGGTCATCGTGATTCCCATATTTACAAGACTATATGGTCATCGTGATTCCCATATTTACAAGACTATATGGTCATCGTGATTCCCATATTTACAAGACTATATGGTCATCGTGATTCCCATATTTACAAAACTATATGGTCATCGTGATTTCCATATTTACAAATACTATATGGTCATCGTGATTCCCATATTTACAAGACTATATGGTCATCGTGATTCCCATATTTACAAGACTATATGGTCATCGTGATTCCCATATTTACAAAACTATATGGTCATCGTGATTCCCATATTTACAAATCTATATGGTCATCGTGATTCCCATATTTACAAGACTATATGGTCATCGTGATTCCCATATTTACAAGACTATATGGTCATCGTGATTCCCATATTTACAAGACTATATGGTCATCGTGATTCCCATATTTACAAGACTATATGGTCATCGTGATTCCCATATTTACAAGACTATATGGTCATCGTGATTCCCATATTTACAAGACTATATGATCATCGAGATTCCCATATTTACAAGACTATATGGTCATCGTGATTCCCATATTTACAAGACTATGTAAAACCCAGCATGCAGGAACACCTCTTCCTTGTTTAGTAGGATAAATGGTTGGTGACAAAATGCAAGATCTGATTGTACTGAGATTTGAATTTCACCTGTTCTGGCTCAATGCCAAGTTCATGTTTGAGTTTCCTCTGAGCGGCTCTGCGGACTCCAATGGCTGCTGCCTCCTCCAACTCTCCCGTCACATTCAGGGGGTGGCTGCAGCATGTGTTGGTCCAGTGACCTGGAACCAGGATGGAAGCTGTACTCAACACTGCCTTAAAGGATATTCTTCATTCTAAAATCGCACACAGGTTGGCATGTCACAACGACCTGCCGAATTCCATATATTGTACAACATGTTCGAATATCGACTGACAGACTAGCTACCACTCACATGATTTGATCTGCCAATATTAGTGTCGATCTAATAATGTTTCGCGGTATTTTGTTTCCATGATATCAAAATGTCTGAGCAGACTTAGCAGCAGTTATCTGCTGCTCAATACTATGTGAAGAAGATGGCAGTGATCGCCGCCAGGCCAGCATTTGTCTTTTCTCTTTTGGAATAATCCCTGCTAGTGAAAAATGGAGGTGTGGTTTCTTTGAAGGAGATGAAGCCATGTTTCGCGCGTGTCTGTAAATATTTACCATTTGACACCAAAACGCCATATGATTGGCCGTGCCACATCCAACTTGCCGAATAACTAGACCAGGCTCTACACACTCACAACACGCGCCAATTTGTACCGTTTGTTGAATTTGATTAATCACTCTAGTCGAGACGATACAACTCCGTTGAATTCGGCACATTGATTCGATGGGCCGACCCATGTGAGTCCGCCTTTACTTCTGAACCAAGCAAATAACTATACATAAAAAATGTCACCGCTGCAACTATCAGTACTAATGTTCATCCACAACCCATACGATACCACACAGCAAAAACTTTTCTGTGTCATCTCAATACAAACTGTTTTCGGCTGCTGTTGGTTGCTAAACCATTGGTGACACTGTATGCTGACAGACTGTTGACCAGTCATTTTGCCCCTACCCTAATTATCTCCCCTTTCACAGTCATGTGATTCACACCAGATCACATGATCTCAATCTAAACATTACTCCTGAACTTAATAATAGCAATTTAGCTGCACAAAGAAACTGACCTGAATGTCTTTCAATACTAAATATATCAACATAAATATGTAAAGATATCATTAGAATCTGTAATTTACTTACAAAGTGTAACCCCAAATACAACACGTTACTATATAACACGTGTTGTGTAGTCATAGCTTCGGCTATGGGAGCCATGCCAGTTCACATTTATCAGAGGAGTACACAAAGTACTGCCACTTGTCTGACTTCCATTTTGTGGAAGCCATGGTCGCTGAATAGATTAGATCGATCGAATCCCAGAAGGACTCAGCCAAAAAGGTACTAGACTCTGTACTTTACTGAGAAAGTGAACGCCTAAATATAACATCCATAACATTTGACCCTTTTCCAGAGGCATAGGAAATGCAAAAAAATTGTAATGCAAATTGTAACACCCTGATGATTGGACCACCATGCTTGCCACCTGAGATACACAGAGATGCCTACCTGGAAATGTAATCTTTGCATCTGACCTCTGTTGGATGAGAAGTTCTCCCTGCTTGTTGAAGAGAAACATGCTGAACGCTCGGTGAAGCATACCTGGAATAATAGGATTATCTTCTCACAGCCTCATTTAAACCATATCTTTCATAAACCATATCTCTGGTGAAACGTGTCTGTGTCGAGATCTGACAACACAGCAGGTCGTGTCAGCAAGTTCACATCTAAATTTTCTGGACAAGTGACTGAAGCTTTCAGACAGCTGATTTCTTTATCTTGAAAATGAAAATAATCAAGAAAATCCATATGCGAAAAAACACTGCCATATTATTATTTTCTTTTGGATGCTGTGTACATAATGTTGTTTGTGCGTGTTGGGGCATCTAAACATGCTAAACCCAAAGACAGACACTATAGAAATGAAAAATTGTCTTAGAAAGCTAACATATTGTCTTTTGAGAAAGCTAACCCATCACCTGTCACAACTGCCTGCAAGGGGTCCTCAAACACAAAGGTATCAGACTTGACTTTCAGACTTGACACTGGTATGACTTGACAAAGTTCAGACTTGACACAGGGTTCACCTGTCACAACTGCCAGACTTGCAGACAGGTATCAGAGGGTCAGACTCACATCTTCAGACAGAGACGGGTATCAGACTTGACACAGACGGGTATCAGACTTGACACAGACGGGTATCAGACTTGACACATCAGACTTGACACAGACGGGTATCAGACTTGACACAGACAGGTATCAGACTTGACACAGACGGTATCAGACTTGACACAGACGGGTATCAGACTTGACACAGACAGGTATCAGACTTGACACAGACGGTATCAGACTTGACACAGACATCAGACTTGGACAGGTATCAGACTTGACACAGACGGGTATCAGACTTGACACAGACGGGTATCAGACTTGACACAGACAGGTATCAGACTTGACTCAGACTTGACACAGACGGGTATCAGACTTGACACAGACGGGTATCAGACTTGTGTAAAAGACAATATGACTATTTTAGTATTTACTTATTATTTTTCCCAAAGCAGCATTAACTCATTCAGCCATGTTTGCATGTCAGTACATTCTCTGGTCATCAGAATTTTTCTTAATTTTGCTCTCAGTACCATGTGAACCCAGTCTTTTCCAAACACATAGAGAGAACATTAAATATCTAACACACTAACCACTGGGCTACCCTTATAACAGGGTCAGACACAGCCACTTGTCTGTTGTGCTAGTTTGAGAAAAATGAAAATATATACAGACTATTTATTTTGTCCCCATATCTTGTTAATAATCTTTTTATATAAACCCGCCTGAAATGAGTCATGGTCAAGATGGATACTACCTACTGTGTCCCTCACTTCTAAACCCAACAAGTTTGGGCCCACACATTTGACACCCAGTACCTTAACCACTCACCTTCATCAATATTCTTCAGCAGGTGACATGTTTTCTTGGAGGCTGAGCCAATATTTTTATCATTCCTATCTACAAGGATGCATTCTTCTTGTAGCAACTTCAACTGTGTGTCATCCAGCTCTCGATCACTGTTTGCCATTGTTGCAGTGTGAGCAAAATATCTGCAAAAGAGATTTGAAGCAATTCATTTTTCAAATTTCTTGTCATTAGCAAATTCAACATTTGAAACAACAGAGAAAATAAACAATATATTTATTCCACAGAACGAATTTATAGACTGAGTATAAAACTGTATCAAATAATAAAAATACTCAGTATATTAGTTCCAATTTACAATCACTTAAGCTCCATGAATTGAGCTGAAACTTCAAAATAACATCAACAGCTCCATCACTCCAATCTCCACCAGCAGAAAATTTCTATTGGATGTGTAATTTAGCATTATGCCATTTGAATGGGGCTCATGATCAAAACGGGCCGGTGGGGTAGCCTAGTGTTAATAAAGCATTGGCTCGTCATGCCGAAGACCCGGGTTTGAATCCCCATATGGGTACAATGTGTGAAGCCCATTTCTGGTGTACACCGCCGTGATGTTGCTGGAATATTGCTAAAAGCGGCGTAAAACCAAACTCAGTCAGTCAGTCAGTCATGATCAAAACCAGGTTATGCCAGTATATGTTGAGGGTATTTATCAAAATGGAAGACCTAACATGAAATAACCATATTTTAGAGATATTAACGAAATAGAGTTATTCTATACAAGAAGTTTGTACTAACCTGTACATTATTTGGATGTACAGTGGTAAACAATAACAAATTAAAAAATAAAAAGCGATAAATAAAAAGAAAGCCTACTTGTTTCAAACTAAACCATGTCACAGGGAGTCTCCATCAGATCTCCACTAAACCACAGTACTACATACAATGCTGGCAGTTGGTAGATATCCCTGGATAACAAATTCCTCCTCCGTATACCAAACATCAATGTTATGTAGACTGGTTGTCTACAGTGTTCAATGACAGAAAATAATCCGTAACAGATGACTCATCATGTGATGAGTGGCTAACAGTGAACAACAGGGTCAGTAATAAAATGCAGATGAATCTAATTAATGTACAACCATATGTTGCACTCATACTGAGTACTTTTCTTTGCATCACATACTGATTCAATTTGTATTTTCTACCATCTATGGAAGGATGAGTTTCATTATGTTGATCAAGCAATTACTATTGCTTATTGTCCTCTTCCTATAGATGACACTATTCCTATATTTGTTTGAGTTTTATGCTTACGTGTTGGATTACAGATTTTGTTTGAAGATAAAAGCCTGAGAAGGGAATAAAAACAATAAAAACAGCTGAAATCTGCTTTTGACTAGAAATTATTTTAAAAACATTCACTCTGCTGGAAGTGAGAGTGTTTAGGGTTACTGAAGGCCAAATCTAACCCGGATCTTCACGGGTTCACTCTGGAGGAAAATATTTTTGGACAGATCAACATAAAATCATAGTCCAGCATATAACTTTGGCTGACTTTGCCCTATACCAAGGTGTGCTCGATGTAGGCATTGGCTGGAATCACAATTTATTTACATGAACTACATTAGTTCATATGAATAAGCTTCATTATTCCAGCCAGAGTTCAGAGATAAAAGCGTCACAACAGCAAAGCGTCACCTGGTGAAAACGGCACCATTTGGACATAGCGGAACCTCGACTTGGCAAAACGGCTACAAATCTTATGAGCGAAAGCGGCACCAACTAAAACTAGTTTGTTATAAGATAATCGGATTGCAGAATGTTTAGATAGTAAATACATCTACTATAATGTTGGAACTATCAAAATTTAAGAACAAGGATGTATTTTTTATTTTCATGGATATGATGTGAAAACTACTTTATACAGTAATAGTGACATTCTGAACTCATTACACCAGTTCATTACTAAAAGTAACCCGGTTCCAGTAATTATCAAATCTACATATATATTCAATGTAAGGCAAGTTTTATATAACTTGATTTTCTCTGACTGCTCATTTCGTTGCTAGGCATAACCAACATATTTATTATTCAATCATTTATCTGTTATTTTGTCACAGTATTTTTCTTTTGTTGTCAAATTATTTCAATTATGTATCCAGCTATTGGAACAATGTACTGGAGCCTATCCAGGTTTCTTTGATGAAATAAAAAAATATGTTTCAACCAAATACATGTACTGTGTCGACAGTGATTGGAAGTGGGCATCCCACAGCTGATAATTGGATTGCACAATATTTAGAATGTTTAGTGTGAAAACATCAGTTTACCTTTGATGTTTTAAGTACATTTACTCAACTGAAATCGCCCAGTGTCAAACTCAGTGTCAAAATGAAATTGTATTTAAAACGCACAAATGTACCCATTGTCTACCGTCGCCGAAATACCTTAGTTGTGCGTGCACGTTAAATAAAGCAAATAACAACAACCCATTGTTTGTTAGTTTTTATGTTTTGGGGGATTTTTTTTCTTTTTTGGGTATACATAACATAATATTTGTTCTGAATATACATAACATAAATTATGCAAGCTTATTGATGTTTCATTTTTCATATTTTACCATTTTTATTAGAAATTTCCTGAAATTGTGTCACTGCCGTTACGAAATTTGTAATTTTTGAAAAGAAAAAATCCAAAGTGTCTTGTTTTACAATATAACATGCCGTCTTGACGCATCCTAGCCAAATTTGTAAAATAAATATAAAAATATCATGCATTTAATACGTCTCCCATCCACTTCATGTTGTCTTTACCCATAGCTTTCATAATAAGGTTTGTATACTGTACATTAGAAGGTACATAGATACCTTTCTGTCATTACTACATCTAATGGCATTAGTAATGTGTTTACCTGAGTCTGCTGAATGAAATGTCTGATGCCTTCTGATTAAACGCCGCCCTTGACCTCTTCGCCTGTGGTCTCACCAGAACTTTCAAAAACGAATAAGCACTCTTCGTTCTTATCAAGTTTCGCATGTTCAGAGTATATTCATCGGGTGACAAGGTGGGTTGGTGCTTTCGCGATATCTGCTTGGTTAAATTCAGTGGACTGATACTGCGGTTATGTCTAAAACAAGCATTTAACGAATTAAGAACAATTTGTTCACAAATTTCAAAGATTATATTTTGAATAATAGCTTATAATACATAGCTGTATGTGCTAATTTATTTCTCCTACATGAAATAATTATCAATCTTGTCCCTGCAAACACAACACAAATAATAATATATTTACTATTTCGTACATGAGTTATATTTTAATTGAACTCGTTGTTTACAATATTTTTGGTTGTCGCTAAAGCACGTGTTCCCAAACTAGAAAAGCCTCATCACAAACATTGCCAGATACATATGGGGAATTGTTAAACGAGGATAAACTGAAGTTGACCAGAAGTAAGCTGTAAGCGTTATGGGTTGAGATATTTATTTATTTAATTTAACAGCATACCGTATGTGGCATTTTCAAAATGGCCGCGCCCATGAAATAAGTGTTGCACAACTTTAACCCAATATTTTTTCTGGTGCAATCATCTAAACAGGGGATATATAACAGAAGAATCATCCAGCAGTCAGCAGAGAGGTAGGTCAATTAATGCTTTATGTTTCGATCGTATATACAGCAGCGACATTGAGAAGATTTCACAATCCACACGACACAGTGACACGGATCTACCACCACCATCAGGCCCAAGCAGATGGTGATGACATTTGACAGTTTGAGAAAACCGAATATACTAGTGTTTCCTACATGGCATCTGCAGACATTATCCCGTTCAGTCTGAACAGTTTCAGACGTAGAAAACCCAAAGCGGTAAGACATTTATCAAGAACATGTGACTCGATTCTCACAGTCACATACTCTGTCAGTGTCAACATGGTCAGGGCGGTGGGGTAGCCTAGTGGTTAAAGCGTTGGCTCGTCACGCCATGGTGGTTCAGATCTGGGTGCTATGTTGAAGCCCATTTCTGGTGTTTGCCATAGTTGCTCAGAATATTGCTAAAGAAGCCTATTAAACTCAATCATCAGTCAGTCAACATGGTCAAACAATGGTTTGATTTTTATGATGAGACAAACAAACTTCTTAGGCTTATACTTACAATGATACTTGGCATGGTGACAGATCTGTTGCTATATTGACTGTGTTTGCCGTAGTGCTCAGAATATTTCATAGATGGGATTATTAGTATGATGTAACTACCACAATGGTCTGATTTTTCATTTGTTAAAAATCTTTACCGAGTCACTGTGTTTCACAAACAGGACATTTTCCAGCCTTAATTGGTGTTCATACTATTAATGGTGAGATTTGTTTCCAATTCGTTAGTTTGACCAGGGAGTATATAACGAAGTGGTCACTCCTCTAAAAGTTACTACCAGTGTAGCCAATATGGCAACAGCGTAGTTTTTAAGATTGAGTCCGGTTTATTTTCAACAGCTGATTACATTCACTGAGTGTTGTGACAACTGAAAACCTACATAAAGAGGATAAGTTACCTCTTCTGTCACTTCATTTTAAATCAAATAATTGTTATTAGTGTCAGTATTAGTACAGTAGACTTGTAGTAAAGTTTCAAGTCGGCATGTTGTAGCTCACTGGCTTCAATTCTCCGTACACAGTGAAGAAAGACTAAATTCTATCGCTAAAAACTTCTTTCTTCACATATTCGTATAATTTTTAGAAGGGAAATATACCTTTAGTTGAAAGGTGTTTGCAAGTAATAGTGATAGTTTTATAACTAAAAAGAATTGTTAGGGTGTATTTGAGGTGTGTGCAAAATATGACATATTTGAGATCTGCCATTGAAATACTACAGGAAATATGGTTTTTGAGTGTTTCTAGTTATTGTTCTAAAACATCTTTCACATACACCTTTAATTTTTATGAGGGAATATACCATCAGGTGAAAGGTGTTTGCAAGTAACAGTGATAGTTTTATAATTTAAAAAATTGTTAGGGTGTATTTTGAGCGTGTGAAGAAATACGACATATCGCTGATCTGTTCTGAATCTGATCGCCATTGATGCTTGTGATGCTTGTGATGTTGAGTGTTTTAGTTCTAAAACTTCTTTCTTTCTTGTTGAGCTTAGTATTTGACAAAACTGGAAAGCGTGTTTACAACGGCTTTGTGATAGTTCTAAACTTTCTGTTTTGAGGGGTGTGTGACAGTGTCAGTCAGTTAACATTCTGTCAATGTCCATGCCATTCCACACATGCAATAAGATATCTGAATTAATTACTAATGCAAAATATGTCTCAAAGTAGATTTTTAAAAAAAGGACAGCTGATGTTAACACATGTGTTCCAGCGATAGTTTTCGCATTCTTTAACATGTTTGGGGAGGGATGGTCGTAGTGTATCATTTAGTGTATCATTTATTCTTTCTAATTCATTCACATATGTATTTCTTTCTTTTTGTTCTTTTCTTTATTTCTTTCATTCATTCGCATATAATTCTTGCTCTTCATTCATTCATTCTAAAATTCCGACTGATACAATAAACTGGCTGAAGTACTGTTAAACGCAGCTGAAGTTGCGCTGGGAACGAACCAAGTCACTGTGTGCGTTGGAGCATGACGAGGCACACGCTAATTAGTACAAATGGTAAAGAAAGCAAGCGAGTGACCTATCCCTGTTGTAGATTATCCCTGGTTTGACTGATATACATCTTAAGATTTTTGTCACCTATATGTGGGGTAGCCAGGTGATTAAAGTCTCTCTCATCTCTTTGAACATGTTGAAGACCCAGGTTGCCATGTGGGTAGAATATGTGAAGCTCATTTCTGTTATCTTCCCCATGATATTCCTGGAATATTGCTTTAAAAACTGAGTGAAAACATACTCGCTCTCACTCACTGGTTGCATACTTTCAAATCTTCCTGACTTGAATCTGATTTGCCAGTATCAAGTTTTGTCCGTCCTAGTAGTGATCCGATTAATTGAAATAATCGAAGATTGGTCGCAGTGACTAAGCGACCAAGCAATCGATCATGTTTTCTCATAATCGAACACAAACAATTCTGGAACACTTGTTTTCAACAATATTTTTCACAAGGTTGGTTTTGTCTGTTACATTTCATAAGCACTATAAGCTCGTTTCAAGTCATGATTGAATTTATCTTAAAGACACCAAGAAATTTATGTTCCTAACATACTAGTCATTCTTAAAAGATGTGAAATTTTGCCCAAACCCCCAAATAACTACATGTTTTTTCCATATTTTTGTGCATTAACAAATTTCATAAATGTAACCAATTATTTTCGATGATTGATCAATGAACCAATTATCAATTATGAGATTTTAACCAATTCCCAACACAAGTCCGTCTAACCAAAGCCTGGTACAATGGTATGGCTGTGTACACAAAGTTCTAGTGTCTATTCACGATCCCTAGAGCATATGTGAGTAAAATACTGTAATTGTATATAATTTCAATTTTTGGAAAGTTCAATTTTAGCTGAAAGTTTCAAACACCTGTTATGGTATCCAGTATGTTTTCACAACCAATAGACATTTCAAACTACCTGAATCATGTGAAACAATCAGGTATCCATCACAAATTTTTTGTGACAACCGAATAGACTTCATGCAATTTGTGATCAGTAGCTAGCGCCAACTGACAAACTGAACAAACATTTGCTGATTTACTAACTACTACAATCTCATACATGCCTCTATTCCTTTACATATTGTTTTGATGTTGGATTAATAAACAAATTGTTTGTTCCTACTTGAGTATTTGTCATGACTCTGACCATGAATATTTAAGCTTGGTATGATTATTGGCCTTACAATCTTTTTGCGATAAAAGCTCGAAAATTAATCCCACGCAAAAATAACTACGATTACAGTATTCATCCCCTTCAAAATTAAAAAAATGTTCCACTTTCAACAAAATATTAGCTCTTGGGTAATGGGAATTAAGATACTCATGGTTTTCTTTGATATTCGTTGGTTCCATTTTGGAATGATATACATAAGGAGCTATTGTTAGCTAACTATGTTCATGTAACTCTTGCTCTTATTGTGACTCCCTTTGGAAAATGGGTAATGATTCCCTTTAGAAAATATTCTTGTGATATCAATGACTGTATCAACATGATCAAACTGAGCATCCAACATCGTGCTTAATAGTGAATGACATATGTTTAAGGCCAAAGAAAAAAATACTTGTTTGTTTATCCCTTTGCAGCTCTTCACAAAATATAGGGTAGGTAGGAAGTATAGCAATAATAACAGCATGTTCAGTGAAGCACAAACATTTTTCATAATGGCACAATACTGGTGTCTGACTGCCAGGATTAACCCTTGAAAACTAAGGAGAAACATTTGGAGGCCTAAATGATCAGCTGATATGGAAAGGTACATTTTAGAACTCAAAATATCTATGTGTCAAAACAATAAACTTTAACATGTCTAACAACATCGTGAAGTGTGCTTTGTTATGTTGTAATGTAACATAATTTCTCATTGCACGAATAATCAATCAGACCTGTTTTTAGCATATACTGTTTTTGTGGACACTCATTATTTAACAATAACAAACTGAAAGACCAGAAACACAATTCTTTTTATTTTCGCCTTACAAGTATTTATCTGTTTGAAGTGCAAGTAATTCCATACCTGTTTTGAATGATGACAGAAAATGGAAGGGGGCACCAAAAGTCCCAGGAAGCTACCAAAGAAGAAAAGTCAGCATTACTCCTCCTGTATGTTATACCATGGAAGACTGGCTCAGGAGAAACTGACCGGGATCTCCATAGCAACGTGTAATCCAAGTGTTGAAGATGATGACAGGATTATAGATAACACTGATTCTGACAAAGGTAAGACAATGGACCAAGCAGTTTCTCATGCTTATGTACCGCCTCCGTGGTGTAGTGGTTAGAGCGTCTGCCCAGAGAGCGGAAGGTCGCGAGGTTTCGATCCCCGACCGCGTCATACCAAAAGATGTTAAAATATGGTACTTGTTGGTCCCTGCCTGGCGCTAGGGATTAATGGGTACAACAAGGACTGGTCGGCTCGGAGTCAGTATAATGTGTCTGAGTGGGGTATTCATGCTTCACTGCGGCATGGTATCTCAGTGGGCTAGCACTATAAAACCAGCTTAAGTCTGGGCTAGTACAAGCAGCTGCACATACACATACACACGCATGCACGTCGTCATATGAGCGAAATATTCTCAAGCACGACGTAAAACCCAATTTCACCTCACCTCACCTCACCTCATGCTTATGTAGTGTTCAGCATTTTCAGTCTTTGAAATTCTTGCTTGTTCACTGGCCTGAGACTTCAAAATTGTCGAGACTTCAAAATTGTACCAAGGGTAAGTGAATGTCCAATGTTATCCAATGTATATGTTTATGGCTATATGATTATGAATATAATCCCTGTGCTTTCAACATGAACACATATATCATTCTCACAAGGAGTGAAAGGAATATCTCTGGTGGTCATGACACATTAGCAGAAAATGATCCAAGGGAGATAATGATCCAAGGTCTGCAGCAGATTTCCATTTTGGGTTTTAGATATTGTAATTTGTGTTTTAACATGTTTAACTGAAACAGTATCTGTTTAACTTTAAGTAACACACCCATTTCATTTATTTACATAATAACCATTGATCCAGTTGACAAACAAAGGTGTGTTTGAGGGTCTTCTATCAAGTTTGCTGAAACTGCTATTTGTCTGATCTAATTTTGAGAAGCACATATTTCAAGTGGCATTTTTAATAAAATATTCCAAACATGTTAAAAATAGAGAAAAAATATGCATTTGATAATCTTTCATATTTAGTTTTACCCAGTTGCGTGTGTGTATCAATTTTGGTTCTGCATCCCTTTTGTATGAATGACAGAATCTCACTCTTGACCTTTTTCCATGTTTTTCATGTGACATTTTCATTATTTGAATAAAACTTTCTAAACATGCTAAAAAAGAGAAAAAATATCCATTTGATAATTTTATATTTTTTTTCCAGATGTGGGTACTTTTTAAACCTCAGGTACAGGTGTGTATCAGTTTTGGTTATGAAGCTAATGTATGAATGACAGGATATCTCTTGACTTGTTTCCAGAAGTGTCGAGCCATCATCGCCACAGGAGGCAGCACGTGGTGTCTGACAGGATGTCCTGCAACTTCTGCAGCGTTGAGTTCGCTGCCCGCTGGGCACAGGTACTTGTTGCATTCGTTTGGGATCATTTGTCAGTGTTGTGATGCTCAGTTTTATGTCGGTTGGATTTACAGAATTTCAAAATAATTTACTAACAATTATGTGTTTGACATTGTCTTAGCGTGTTGTTGTTATGGCTACGCATTCTTGTCTATTAACCCTGAAGATCTGGGTTAGAATTGGTCTTCAGCAACCTATACTTGTCGTAGGAGGCGACTAGCGGGTTTGGGTGGTCAGGCTTGCTGAATTGGTTGACACATGTCATTGTATCCCAGGTGCATAGATCGATGCTCATGCTGTTGATCACTGGATTGTCTGGTCCAGACTCAATTATTTACAGACTGCCACCATAAACATGATAAAGCTGGAATATTGCTGAGTGCGGCATAAAACTAAACTCACTCACTCACCCGAGCTTTATTAACCTGATTGTCTTTTGGGGTTTGTCATATATTCCTGCGTTTGTTTGACCAGAGTGGTAAATGTCTCCCACATCGCTATGCACTCAGCGACATAATGTTTTTCGAAGCGACATGAAACCAAACTCTCTATTTAGTCTCCTAAGTAACAGCCAGTTCACCTAGGTTTAGTGCAAAACTGACAACAGCTGTCTCAGAATATAAATTATCACGTTTGTTTAGTAATAATATGTAAATTTGTCACATGTTATCAGATCTCTTGAAATGGGAGATATGCATATCTAAAGGGCTTATCATACTTTTGCCATCGTGTGCTTCATGCACCCATGGTTATAAAAAATGTATGCAAATTAATTGCATCACATGGAAGTAATAAAAGTTTTCATCTGATTTAATCAAACTATGAAACTTTATGCTGAAACAGCAGAAAATTATCAGGTATTTATTGCAACAGATGTCAGAATATATTTTTATTGAAATGTGCCACGTTTTCCTCATATCTATGTATAGCGTTACTGTTAACGACTTTTTAAAGATGGTTAAAGTGAGCTTCAGTACCTGGTGTACTTTTGTATTGAAATATAACTATACTCAGTACTGTCATTTCTTAACTTTGTTGCAATGTCAGTTCTGTTTAAGACAAGAACGCTATTGAGCAGTATATTTCTATACAGAAACAAGTGCAAGACAGGCTCATCTGAAAGTGTCGCTCTTTACATTCACCATGGTAACTGTGATAAAATGTTTCTATTTTCAGAAAGAGCATTACAAATCAGATTGGCACAGATACAACTTAAAACTTCGACTCAAAGGATCTAATTTGGTCTGTGAAGACGAGTTTGAGAAAATAGCAGGTACTTGAAGGGACATATACTCGCGTTACATAAATTCATGGATTACCTTGATTCATGGATGCTCGTAATTGCCACTAAATCTTGTTACCCAAATCACGTTTGATGTCACATAGCTGTACTGTTTAAGTGCACACCCTCTCACGCTTCTCTGACAAAAATGTTCCTAATCGCTCCACTACACGTCAGTACAGTCGCGTAAATGGTCATGCTTACTGTAAACATGTAACATATGTTACATTTAGGATTACACTTTCTTAGTAAAGTACAAATTCTAGTACTTTTTGGGTTTAGTCCCATCAGGGATTCGAACCTACACCCTCAGAGACAGGCACCTATTCGCCAGCACACAAAGTCAGCCGCCTAACCCGCTCAGCCACTGTGACTTCCACAAAACTGGAAGTCGGATAACTGGTAGTCTAGACTGCCGACTTTGTTTACCCCTCTGATAAGTGTAATTGGCACGGCTCCCACGTTGCGGTGGTTGAGCGGGTTAGGCAGCTGACTATGTGAGCTGGTGCCTGACTCTGAGGGTGTGGGTTCGAATCCTGGGTGGGACTAAACCCAAAAAGTACTAGAATTTGTACTTTACTACGAAAGTGTAATCCTAAATATAACATATGTTACATTTGTCCACTTTCTAAATGGCATTGTGTAATCATTACTGTAAACATATCTGAGATCACCAATACAAAATTATAAGTTCATCTAAAATCAAATTACATGTATATATATATATAATTGATTAACGGCAGGGTGGTCACAGGCTCACTGACTTGGTTGACACATGCTGTCATATCCCATTTGCATAGATCAATGGTCATGCTGTTGATCACTGGATTGTCTGGTCCAGACATGATTATTTACATTCCACCAGCATATACGGTAATATACGGTAGCTGAAAAGTGAAATATTGCTGAGTGCAGCATTAAATAATGTAAACAATATTGATTGTGATGAGACATCATGACAATGACATTCCAGAGAGATGTGATATCTGTTTCAAATCTGTAAGAGCTTACATTGAGAGAGAACATTACAGACAATTACAAATAAACATTACAGCAAACATTTTCAGATTTGTCTAAATGTTTCTGAGTGTCTGAAGCCCTGAAACTTTTAACATTTGAGACCTCTTTATTAAGCTGTGGGTTCTAAATGAAATTGATGGCCCCTGAATACACAATAACAACTGCAAATCTGAAAACCAACGTTTATCTCCAAATAAGCACTATCCATCCAAGATGGAAGCCCAGTGGATATAAGCAAGGGCCCACTGGCAATAATTGGTAATAATTTTGTTTATCATGATGTTACCTGTGTTTGCCATGGTAACATGAACATTTGCTGTCATTCCAGGTGATGTCTCGAGCATATCAGGATCGGAGGATGAATCAGAGCTGTCTGACACAGACACTGATACCGGGGGTGGAAAAGGGAAGAGCAAACCTATGGCAATACCCCAGCATGTGAGGGGAGCTTCAGCACACAGTGGTACAGACAGTGAATCAGAGGGAGGCTTGACAATTGAAGGAACAGCCAGGAAATACCCCAAAGTCTATTTTAAGAACAAAGATGGGGAGCTAATTTCTGTGTTCCGATGCCTCCTGTATCATAAAAAGGTGAAGACAATCACAGCAAATATTTTTGAAAGTAACGCAAGAATTCAATTCAACTTTATCATTCAATGACTCCTTTGAGATGCTTTTACCCCCACAACTTGTTTCATAATGGTGTAAGAACCTATAATGAAATGTTGCTCTCATTGTAATAAATCCATATATTGTTATAATTCCTATATGCCACATGAGACAAAATATATTCAAAGTTTTGTGCTCAGTCTCAATTATATGGAAATAAGAATTGTTCAGCACCAATGTTATAAACAGTGGGGACGGTGGGGTAGCCCAGTGATTAAAGCGTTCACTCAGCATGCCGAGAACATGGGTTCGATTCCCCACATGGGTACAATGTGTGAAGCCCATTTCTGGTGTCCCCTGCCATGATATTGTTGGAATATTGCCAAAAAATGGTGTAAAACCTCACTCACTAATAAACATTGCTTTTTTTACTCATGAAATCTGTCAGGAAGATTCTCAGCTATTTGATGTACAAAACACCTTGACATCAATGCAAAGTTTGAATGTGATGATATATGTTAGTATGTTTCTTTTCAGAAACCCCCTACCACCCAGCAAGAGCTGATAGCCACAGCTACTGATCTGCCCCGGAAAACCAAGTGGGCGATCTGTATGACAGCTGGCGGCCATTTTGCTGCTGCAGTGTTTGAGGGGTAAGTGACAGTACAAAGAGGATATGTAGTGGCTGATGTATTCGGGTAGGGTCAAGTGCAAATTTATCCGAGTCCGATTATATGGCCCTACACGGGTACCCACTATAGGTCTCAAGAGTTGGATACAAACTGTCAATGGAGCCCATACTTTGTCCATTAATGCAGTGGCTACCTGCTCAAGAACATGTGCATTGTGCATACGTTTTATGTTCATTCCTGATAATGTTATATGTTAAAAGCAGCATTAAAACCAACTCACTGACTCTCCTTTCTTCTGGGAGCGAGTATGGTTTTACATTGCTTCCAGCAATATCACAGCAGAATTGGGCTTCAGACATGTACACATGTGGGGAATTGAACAAGGGTCTTCAGTGCCAGCTCACTCTTCTTTCTTCTATTAAATGTGAGTGAATCTGGTTTTACGCCGCTTTTAGCAGTTTTCCTGCAATATCACAGCAGGGGACACCAGAAATGGGCTTCACACATTGTACCCATGTGGGGAATTGAACCCGGGTCTTGATGATAAGGAACTGAGTAAATTCATGTGACGTTTTCAGAGAAAATTTGGTAGCCCACAAGACCTTCCATCGATATGTGGTACGGGCAAAACGTGGAACGGCACAGGGCAGTCGAGACAGCCAGGGGAACGCCCCCAAGTCAGCAGGTGCCAGCATTAGGCGCTATAACGAGGCAGCACTCATGCAGGTAGAAACACTTTGTAGAAATGTTCACTTGGGCCTGGCCTTGATGTAAGTTGATCAGTTGGCTGTTTTACTAGTATGAACCCATCTACAGTGGAATGCCATTGTGTTGAACTGTGATGTGTCAAACATGCAGTTGTCTCGAAGTATGAGCTTGGTCCATGTTTATCCTTTCTTTAGTCATCACTTTACATTTGTTTTTGACATTGTATGGTAGAACATATGCTATATTTTGGATTACACTTCCTCAGTAAAGTTCAGATTCTAGCAGTTTTGTTAGGTTGAGTTCCGTCTTGGATTCAAACCCAAACTCTCAGGATCACAATTGCCAGTACACAAAGTCAAATATCTAACCCACTCTGCCACTGTGGAGCCTTATAACTGTACTTTACTGAGATAGTGAGAAAGTGTAAACCCAAATATAACATATGATACATCTGACCACTTTCTTAAATGGCATTGTGTCTCATATATGTATTTACACAGGTCCCTTCAATTGCTCATTGACTGTAGTTTTAACCAGGATTACATAACCATGTGTTATTGGCACAGACACTTCTAATTATAGCCAGTAACACATTTCCACATTGTGTTTTCAGGAAGTCCAAGATCTCCTGGCCACGTGGTCTGACCACCTGAAGAAATGTGACCTCATCTTCCTCCGAGCCCCAAGCTTCAACAGACAGATGTTTTATGCCGGCAAAACCCCGCCATTTAAGAAGGATGACTTTCGCATCCGAACAGTACCATTCCCAACACGTCGACCAACTCTAAATGAAGTTAAACGAGTTCACCAAATGTTGGCATCGGTTGAGTGTTATGGTAAGACAGAAGTCCATATTACTTGTTGCCATGGTGCCAAGTGCCATAAACATCTGATTGGCTAAAGTATCTATACATCTCTAATAATAAGGCCACTTATATGTCACTGAACTCCACGTCGCACATGCATGCACTAAGTTTATACAGCATAGTGGGTATGATTTTAATGATTAGACCTATGGGCTTTGCCAGGAAGTGTGTGGACAAAAGACAGTTCATATGATTTATTTACACGTTGTCAAATGCTATTTTCAGGTGAGGAGGTAAATGTAAAAAGATTTTCTGCCTGTGTCACCGCTGCGTCACTTCAGTCCTGAGACAGGACGACTGGAGATTGTATCTGACGACGTGTTACGTCGATCACCACGGAAATTGAAAGACAAAGATTTAAGTGTGTCCCCACTTGCCGCCTCCCCCAAGTTTGTTAGTGGGAGCCCCAGCAACAAACAGACGGGCAAGTTCATTCTTCCAGGTAGGTAGGCATAGGCTATGATACTAATCCTTAAAAGTTTGGACCTGTATAAAAGAATACTTGTGTTGACTGTCATGGTGGCAACAAGGGCATGGGTACCCTAGCTATTCAAGGTGTTTTGTGGCTTAGTGGTTATAGCACCCGGGTTTGAGTCCGCACATGGGTACAATGTGTGAAGCCCATTTCTAGTGTCCCCTGCCGTGATATTGCTGGAATATTGCTAAAAGCGGCGTAAAACCATACTCACTCACTTGTGTGCACCCATTCAGTGGTTGAACAGTGGCATATGTCAAACAAAGTCTCTTGCCTCAGGCTGAAAGTTAAAGTGCCCTATGATCTTTACTCATATTGTCAATCACATAAATTTTTTCACTCATTCACACATTGTGTGTCAATTGTCTTGAGACCCGTGAAGGTCCGGGTTTGAATTGATTTTCAGTAACCCATGCATGTGTTAAGAGGCGACTAACGGGATCGGGTCGTCAGGCTTACTGACTGGGTTGACACATGTCATTCTATCCCAGTTGCGCAGATCGATGCTCATGCTGTTGATCCCTGGATTGTCTAGTCCAGACTTGATTATTTACAGACCGCCGCCATATAGATGGAGTATTGCTGAGTGTGGTGTAAAACTAAACTCACTCACTCACTCAATTGTCTTGATTACTTACCAAGTTACATATGAAACTTTCAGAGTGTCACATGACTGTCACATGACTATCACTTAAGATCCCTTCCTCACTGCTGTTTGTTTTGTCCGGATCAGATTACTTGCTTTGTGAGGACAATCAACCATCATCGTCAGCAACGTCAACCGCCAGTGAGGCCGACCTTGTGGAAATGGAGGAAGCCATTAGTACCCTTGATCTGCAGCCGTTTGAGCATACTGGAAAGGGGCCACGCAGGAAGAAAAACAAACGGAAGCGACGGCCATCTTTGAAACATCAAGTAGAACCAGAAGGTGACATGTTTGGTGAGTAATTCTATCATGTGCTGTAGGAGAGACATTATCTGGCAACTTTGCAGCAGAAATGTTTTTCAAGTTTTATTTCAACCTGTAAAGCCAAAATATTTACCTTGCAAAAGTCAAAGTAGAACATTTGTACCTGGTGTTTAATAGGGCTGCCCAATATAACCGGTTTACCGGTATTTAACGGTTCGGACATGAAAACGATACGTATTGCGATATGCTGATCGAAAACCGGTATTTTGACATGCATTCGGAAAACTTTGTAACACTCGGAAATCTTCGGATATTTCCGTTTTTTAAATTGTTCCTTTCCTTGTTTCATTTGTGCCAAACATTATTTACATTTATCTTTTGCCATGATTAAAAGTTTTATTAAAGCCTAATCAAGCATTGTGATTTTGTTGTGTTTTTGCTTTACAGATCAAGCATTAACTCGATTATAAGTAGTTTTTTTGTTAAAAATAATTCTTGCAATATATTGCAATACATATCCCAATACATGCTTTCGCATTGCAATATATCACAATACGAAAATTCCCTGCAATACCCACCCCTAGTGTTTAAGTGTGTGTGCCTGTAAGTATGGTTAAACACCGCTTTTAGCAATATTTCAGCAATATCACATTGGGGAACACCAGAAATGGCTCTCACACATTGTACCCATGTCGGGAATCGAACCCAGGTCTTTGGTGTGACGAACGAACACTTTAACCACAAGGTTACCCAACCACCCCCACTGGTGTCTAAGGTAAACCATGGCAACCTGTTTATTTTTCAGCTGAAGAAAGATACCACCTACGTAACGCCTTGTACACTGCCTGCAAAGTCGGAGACAAGAGTGCTCTCCGCAGTTTGTTGGCCATCTTCAACCACCCAGCAGCTAGTATAGACAGTCCCCTGACTGACGACACGGCACCACAGGGGGAGGAGGGGGCACCTGTTGTGTCAGGGGAGGCACAGGTCCTGTCTGTAGAGGGAGATGATGGGGAGGAAATATCCCAGGCAGATGGTGCAACAAAGTCAGAAGGAAAAGAAGACATTCCCGATTCTGGTTTTGAGACCGAAAATTTCAAGGAGGAGAGTTTCCATATTGGAGAAGGGGATTATGAAATCAAAGTGACGGACTGTGGAGACACTGTGTCAGAGAGTAGTAACAATTTTCAGGATAATGTGGAACAAGTTGATTCCTTGAAAGATGAAATTGTAGATCCTGACAGACATAAAAATGGTGAGTCTTTGGAAAAAGAATTGTCAGAGAAGATGCCAAGCACAAAACCTGCAGCTCTGCCTGGTCTGACGATAGGTCTGGCCCAACCTACCTTTGAGTTATCTCCCCTTATTACAGCTGAAGTGTTGAACGAACCTTTTGGTGACAACAGCACGACGTTGCTCCATGTGGCGTCGAAGGGTGGCTATCCATCCCTGATCCGACTGTTGATGAAGGCAGGTGCTGATCCCACAATGAAGTAAGTGTCCTGGTCTCTTCTTACCTATGTCAGCTGATAGAGTAGTACCTTTACATTTAGTTCTGAAAAGTTTAAATAATAATCATTCAAAGAGGGAACCCAAGAGTTATAGAGGAACCTTTAAGAGTTTTAATTCCTACTATTCCACAACCGAAAATAGAATGAAAGCAGAATTGGGTTTGAATATTTTTTTAAATATTGACCTGAAATATAGTTATGTGTAAGCTTAAATAATTATCATTCAATGAGGGAACCCACGAGTATTAAAAGAACGATCATTTTTAATTCCTACTATCCCACAAGTGAAAAGGTAAAGAAAGTGGAAATGAGGAGAATATTTTATTGAATATATGCATGTACTCTGAGCCTGTAAGCGTGGTAAGAAAGATAAGTAGAATTCAGTGTACACAGAATGGTCTGAAAATTAATCCTAATATTCTGCCGGTGCCATATCCATGCTGATGGTTTTACTTTATACAGGGCTCCAGATAACTTTTGGGGGTGTAAGTGTACTTACACATCATATTGCAAGTGGAGGTGTACTGAGAATTTTGAAGGAGTACTGGCATGTTTTTGTGTGAGTGAGTTGATGTGGTTTGTCTGGACGATTCATCGATCACTATTTCCAACCATGTATTTGTATTTGAAGACGCGTGAGAAATAACTGAGCGACTGTGTGATGCGCGAAATGTCAAGTCCGACTGGATATAAATAGGAACAGTGTAGTTTTTAGCCAATCGAAAAATAGTGACGCACATCGTTGCATGGCAACGCAAGTGATTCCTACTGTCGGGGTTTCCTTATGTGTCAAATCGTGTTTCGCAAAAGAAACTTTACAGCAAGTATTTATCGAAATAGATTTCCATTTGCAAGATAATGCGGAAATTAAATACTAGATGTGCATGCGAAGGAAATATTTATGTCGTGCTTAATTTTGATACGCATTGAAATCTTATATTATGTCGTGCTTAATTGATTTTGAGACGTACATTACGCATGTGCGCTTCTTACCTGTAGCCCTGCTTTATACATTATCTCAGTGTGAGTATTTGTTTCTCAGAGACAAGTTTGGCAAGGTGCCTTACTCTGTCACCACCAGCAAAGAGACGAGGAATGAATTCCGTAGATTTATGGGAGAGTTCCCGGAGAAGTTTGACTACAGCAAGGCTCAGGTAGGTCACATTTGACATCACAGCTCACCTGTCTCGGGTAGATGAAGACAAACATCAGAGCTCACTTGGCTCAGGTAGATGATGTCTGACAACATATCTCACATGGTCCAGGTAGATGACAGCAAACATTATAGCTCACCTGGTCCAGGTACATGACAGCTGACATCATATCTCACCTGGTCCAGGTAGATAACAGCTGACACCATAGCTCACCTGGTCCAGGTAGATGACAGCTAACATAATAGCTCACCTAGTCTAGGTAGATGACAACTGATATCATATTTCACCTGGTCCAGGTAGATAACAGCTGACACCATAGCTCACCTGTCTCAGGTAGATGATGTCTGACAACATATCTCACATGGTCCAGGTAGATGACAGCAAACATTATAGCTCACCTGGTCCAGGTACATGACAGCTGACATCATATCTCACCTGGTCCAGGTAGATAACAGCTGACACCATAGCTCACCTGGTCCAGGTAGATGACAGCTAACATAATAGCTCACCTAGTCCAGGTAATAGCTCACCTGGTCCAGGTAGATGACAGCTAACATAATAGCTCACCTAGTCCAGGTAGATGACAGCTAACAGGTAATAGCTCACCTGGTCCAGGTAGATGACAGCTAACATCAGAGCTCACCTGGTCCAGGGTCAAGAATTGCCTCTACTACCCAAATCTGCTGATTAGTTTAATGTATTTTAGTTTATTACATTCATGGTCTTTGTTTCTGGTTATGAGAGAATGAAGAGACTAACATGTTTTGGTTCTGTACCAGCCTAACTGGATAAATGAGTACTTCAGCTGGCCTACACACTTGTTCAATCCTGATGTGGATAACGGCCGGTTTGATGATGTCGGATTTGTTATGTGACTTCCTGTTTGTCCCAGATCCCTTGTGCACTGACACCCGAGATGGAGGCACAGAAGCGGGTTAAGGACGCTGAGAAGAAGAAGCAACAGAAGAAAGCCAAACAGGAACGTCTCAAGGTAGACCATCTCAGATTGTCATAGCTCATCGTGAAGTAGTATGTTCAGTCCCTTGCTGCTACTGTAGTAGTAGTAGTAGTAGTAGCTGTAGTAGCAGCAGCCGTAGTAGTAGTTGTAATTGTAGTAGTAGTAGCTGTTGTAGTAGTAGTAGCGATAGTAGCAGTAGTAGTAGTAGTAGCAGCACCATTAGGGATTTGTAGAGCACCTGTCTTCAGATACTTAGGACTGCCTAAAATTTAATGATGATGATGATGATGATGATGATGATGATGATGATGATGATACACCAGGGAAGAGAAGTAAGGTATACTTTGGATATGTTTGATTATGCTTACAAGAAATTCAACAAGAAACATGGGTATTTCTTTGACCTGTTTGAGTACTTGAGTGGGAAACTCCTTGTTATATTATTTTGTTATATATCTGAGACCCAAAGATATATAAGGGTTGTAGAAAACTGCTTTGTTCTTTGCAGGCTTCTCAGTGTGTGTTAATGTTGCACACTGCTTTATATTGGTGCAGCTTAGTGTGGAACTACTGTTGCACATTGTGCTGGCATGTCATTGTGTGGCCGAAGGTGTTGTAACTAACTATATCGCTCCAGCTCAGCACAGCTCAACTAACCTTGCCACACCTAACACAGCTCAACTCACCTTGCCACACCTAACACAGCTCAACTCACCTTGCCACACCTAACACAGCTCAACTCACCTTGCCACACCTAACCCAGCTCAACTCACCTTGCCACACCTAACACAGCTCAACTCACCTAGCCACACCTAACACAGCTCAACTCACCTTGCCACACCTAACACAGCTCAACCAACCTTGCCACACCTAACGCAGCTCAAATAACCTTGCCACACCTAACACAGCTCAAATAACCTTGCCACACCTAACACAGCTCAAATAACCTTGCCACACCTAACGCAGCTCAAATAACCTTGCCTAACCCTAGCGCGAGCTCAACTCACCTTGCCACACCTAACACAGCTCAAATAACCTTGCCACATCTAACACAGCTCAAATAACCTTGCCACACCTAACTCAGCTCAAATAACCTTGCCACACCTAACGCAGCTCAACTCACCTTGCCACACCTAACGCAGCTCAAATAACCTTGCCACACCTAACACAGCTCAACTCACCTTGCCACACCTAACACAGCTCAACCAACCTTGCCACACCTAACACAGCTCAACTAACCTTGCCACACCTAACACAGCTCAACCAACCTTGCCACACCTAACGCAGCTCAAATAACCTTGCCACACCTAACACAGCTCATCATAGCACATGACAGTGCACCATATCCACCTCAGCCTGCACAGCTCACCACAACCAACCCACCTCACCACAACCAACCCACCTCACCACAACCAACCCACCTCACCACAATCAACCCACCTCACCCCTCACCACAACCAACCCACCTCACCACAACCAGCCCAGCTCACCATAACCAACCCAGCTCACCATAACCAACACACTTCACCAGCCTACCTAGTATACTCATGCTCCAATTAGCATCACAGTACACTATATCATCTGCCCGCCATGCCTGAACACTACACCCATCTACTACACCCATCCACTACACCCACACCTACCCATTCAGCCACCACACCAACAATCATGTCATCAACATCAGTTATCGTCTACATCAATTATCCACTGAACAAGTGCCATGATTTAGCTTGAAAGTTGCTAACTACGGTCTTAACAACAAACCTATAAAACTTGCCCCTAATGGTATGCCTCTAAACCCACTCTCCTATATGCTAAGACACTCCCAACTCCAAGACCTACTAATTAGGGCTGCAATATTACATATCGCAATACATGCTTTCGCATCGCAATATATCGCAATATGAACATTCTCTGCAATACCCACCCCTACTACTAATCATGTTCTTTCTGTCACTGAAGAGGTGGTGGTGTAGCCAAGTGGTTAAAGCACCTGCTCATCACACTGAAGACCTGGGTTCCATTCCCCAATGGGTACAATGTATTTTGGCCTTAATGATATTGCAGAAGTATTGCCCAAAGCAGCATAAATCCAAAGTCACACTCTGGTGCTAATCACATGTGCAAGTCTCACCCATATTCATTTATTTTCAAATCGTATTCAGTGCAGAAATACATGTGGATATGATGACCTGATTTTGTCTTCCTCGCAGGAGAAGAAGGTGGAGATGGCCATGGCAAAAGCAGAGGAGGAGGAGAAGAAGCGATTTTTGTCACTCTCCGATCGAGAGAAGGTAACTATCCCAACACATCATCCCAACTGAGGATCAGGGCTTTTGTTTGTTCGTTTGTTATTTGTTGTCTAACACGATCCCTAGCAATATTCCTGCAATATAGCGACAGTCTGTAAATAATTGAGTCTGGACCAGACAATCCAGTGATCAACATCATGAACATCGACCTACGCAATTGGGTGAGGTGAGGTGAGGTGAAATTGGGTTTAACGTCGTGCTTGAGAATATTTCGCTCATATGACGACGTGCATGCGTGTGTATGTGTATGTGCGGCTGCTTGTACTAGCCCAGGCTTAAGCTGGTTTTATAGTGCTAGCTCACTGAGATACCATGCCGCAGTGAAGCATGAATACCCCACTCAGACACATTATACTGACTCCGAGCCGACCAGTCCTTGTTGTACCCATTAATGCCGAGCGCCAGGCAGGGACCAACAAGAGACATATTTTAACGTCTTTTGGTATGACGCGGTCAGCTACGCATTTGGGACATGATGACATGGGTCAACCAAGCCACGAGCCTGACCACCCGATCCCGTTAGTCAGCCTCTTACAACAAGCCTGGGTTGCTGAAGACCATTTCTAACCCAGATTTTCATGGGTTATCTGGTCTTCAGTGTTTGATGCTTGTCTTAAGAGGTAACAAATGTTTTTCTGTAGTCTGACTTGCTGACTAAGTTGATGCATGTCATCCATGGCTTGATGGGCACATTTGCATAGTATCCTTGGACAAGATACTTAGATCCACATTGTCTCCGTTCACCCAGCTGTAAAATGGGTACCCGTGAGGATGTGCTGGCAATGTGCGTGTTTAGTTCATAGCGCCTAACAGGCAGCATGGCTGTATGATCCCCAGGGAGTTGAAAAAGTTTGGGAAAGTATGACAGTGTCCTATGACCGGGGATAATAATGTATGTAGCACCACGAGCAGGCAATGAGCCTGGATATGAGCGACATATAAGCAGACTATTACTATTACTATTTCCTGGCTCTGACTTGATTGCTTACAGAAAGCCTTCAAATTGCTGGAATATTACTAAGAGCTTTGTTAACAAGCAACAAAAAATACAAAACATACTCATCAACAACTAAAATGGCTGTGTTTGTGATGGTTTTCTATTTGGGAAAATTGAAATTTCCAAATATGGGATGATTGATTATAGAAATCTGACATCTGATTGGCACAAGATTCCATGCATCCTTCATTTAGATTGGGCAATCAGAGTTTGCTCTCATTTCTCCAGATGCTACATTTCAGAGATGTTATTGTATCTTGATCCAGAGAGGTATTGTCCCTGAGTGAAAGATCTGGTTATAATGAGGTTGTTCCCCAACTGTCATCTGGCTTCTTTGTATGTACACAACGAACTTGTTGAACCATGTACACTCTGAACTTGTTGAACCATGTACACTACTTAACTTGTTGAACCATGTACACTACTTAACTTGTTGAACCATGTACACTCTTGTTGAACCATGTACACTACGAACTTGTTGAACCATGTACACTACTTAACTTGTTGAACCACGTGCACTACTTAACTTGTTGAACCGTTGTTGAACACTACTGAACTTGTTGAACCACGCATACACTCTGAACTTGTTGAACCATTACACTACGAACTTGTTGAACCATTACACTACTGAACTTGTTGAACCACGTACTGACACTACACTCAGAACTTGTTGAACCATGTACACTCACTGAACTTGTTGAACCACGTACACTTGAACTTGTTGAACCACGAACTTGTTGAACCACGCACTTGTTGACCGCGTGCACTCTGAACTTGTTGAACCACGCATTACACTCTGAACTTGTTGAACCACGTACACTCACGAACTTGTTGAACCATTGCACTACTTAACTTGTTGAACCATGTACACTACTTAACTTGTTGAACCACGTACACTACGAACTTGTTGAACCACGTACACTTCACGAACTTGTTGAACCATGTTGATGAGAGAAACTGTTTTCCTTTCTCTAGCGAGCACTGGCAGCTGAAAGAAGGATCTTGCAGCAACAGGAAGTGCAGGGAGCAGCGCCATCTGTTCTCAGGTAACCATGGTAACACTTGTATTACATTATACTTGTGTTGAGTCAAAACCAGGACCAGACAAGCATGTAGGAAATACATATCAATTATTGCCAAGCATGTGGGATTGGCAGGGAAAATCTCCCTTTCATGATCTTTTCCAAGTTACTCCATCCTCATCTTAAATGTCTGAATAGGCCTCTTACGTTGGACTGTGCACAGCCAATACAAGGTATAGGTGTATAGCCAAACATTTGGCACAACTGTGTAGCCAAACACTGAACATAGGTGTATAGCCAAACATTTGGCACAACTGTGTAGCCAAACACTGAACATAGGTGTATAGCCAAACATTTGGCACAACTGTGTAGCCAAACACTGAACATAGGTGTATAGCCAAACATCTGGTATGGCCAAATATTGGGCCCTGGTGCACAGCCAATCACACTGTGTGACCAAATACTAGACCATCCAGTGATTGATGTCATGAGCACAATTTGGGACATGATGACACACAATCAACCAAGCTAGTGAGTGACAGTCCAATCCAGTGTCTCGACTATTACGACTAGAAATCCATTGCTGATCTTCACAGTGTCTACCAGCTGTGAGGCAGTTCAGTATTGTGAATTTAGATCCTCCTTATCAGTAAATGTGAATCTCATTGTTACTGTCTCCGACAAATATGTTGCTGATGGCATAAACTCACAGTGATATTTTCTGTTTCAGTCGCTGCTATCAGTGCGGGGCGGACATGACAGGGAAGGTTCCCTTTGAGTACAAAGACTACAAATTTTGTACTTCTAAATGTTTACAACTACATCGTAAAAGTTGTGCAAAATCTTAACACAAACTGTTTCTAGGTTTCTAATATAATGGAGATAAACATCATGTGTTGGCCAATTTCCAGGTGTAATTGAGTATTTGAAGCACAGGAATTCATTTGGCACCGACGGCGTCAGCAGTGGAATGTCATCAGCCGGACGTTTCGGCTGTCTCCCATGGTAGCATCTGGAACTGCTCATTTGTGACGTCATTCGGACTTTACGTCACAATATCGTTTAATGACGTCATCACAGCTGACGATTAACAATACAATGGTGTGAGCGCGATGTTTGTATGTACTAATACGCAGCGAATTTCCGGGAATCGAATACCATTTGATCACGTTTTCAACCAATCAAATTAGAGAACACAGTGACTTTTGGTGTACAATACAATGTTGTTAGCCTGGCAAACCATCCCAAACATGTGAACAGCATAATGTTGAAGGTTACCAGAAACCATTCCAGGCGTGGGTTAAGTGATGGGTTAAGTTGTTGAACTCTCATATCTTCCTGTCAGTTAAGTGCATATTTGTTCATTCCATGTAAAACATGGGTCAGTGGAGTAGCCGAGTGGTTAAAGCGTTCGCTTGTCATGCAAAAGGCCCGGGTTGGACTCCCCATATGGGAACACTGCGTGAAGCCCATTTGTGGTGTCCCCCACCATGATATTGCTGGAATATTGCTAAAAGTGGCATAATACCATACTCACTCACTCACCCATATAAGACACAGGTCAGATGAAGTTTTTTTGAACCCAAGAGATTTCCTCTCCTTCTATACTCAGTGTATTCACATGTTCTCCATGCTTGTTGTAGTTCAATCCTTAATGTCCTTGTTTAAAGATAATTTCAGGTTGAAATGATTTTAATATTTGCATCTTACACAAAACTGTGTTGAAATACAGTAAACAATGATTGTAACAAGTTCATATTGTACCATAGTTCGTTATGCTCATCTAAACTTAAGCCCATTTCTGGTGTCCCCTCTGTGATATTGCTGGAATATTGCTAAAAGCCACGTAAAACCATAGTCACTCACTCGTCTAAACATAAATATACAGCAAGTGGACGGGATACAAGAAAATAGGTTATGATATCCGTTATTTCACGATGAATGTCAGTTTGCTATTGCACTTAACAGAATAAGTAAAGTCTTAATCTCGCATTAATTTTATATTGGCCTACATTTCATGGAGAGAAAAGATCATTTGTTTTATCATCTAAGTGTTTTGAACCAAACAAAGATACTCCATGTTGTTACCCTGCAGCTTGGCAGTACATGGTAAAACTGGCACTGATCAGCTCAGAGTGTTGGGAATTGGTTAAAATCTCATAATTGATGATTGGTTCATTACAACCGATCAATCATTGAAAATAATTGGTTTTCGTCATTTATCAAATGTTCCTGTTATCTTTGTTAATGCACACACACAAAATAAAGAAAACACAAGTAATAATTTGTAATTGGGTCTTTGCAAATGGCAAAATCCATTGGCAAATTTCGCATATTTAAAGGATGATTAGTATGTTAGGAACACAGATTTCCTGGATTCTTTAAGATAAATTCAATCATGACTTGGAACGAGCTTGTAGTGCTTATGAAATGTAAATTTAATGACACAGACAAAACCAACCTTGTGTAAAATATTGTTGCTGCAACAAGTGTTCCAAAATTGGTTGTGTTCGATTATGAGAAAACACAATCGATTGCTTGGTCGTTTAGGCACTGCGACCAATCTTCGATTATTTCAATTAATTGGACCACCACTACTGTGTCATTATCTTTAGTAACCCATGCTTGTCGTAAGAGGCGACTAACGGGATCGGGTGGTCAGGTTTGCTGACTTGGTTGACACATGTCATCGGTTCCCAATTGCACAGATCGATGCTCATGCTGTTGATCACTGGATTGTGATCAATTTTGTACACACGCATTTGGGACTAAGGGGGGTGGTGGTCATCAATTTTGTTCATGAAAATATGTTAAAAATTATGCTTAGAAATTATGGGTAGGGGAGGGGTGGTCATTGATGTTGTACATGACATGCAGGGGGGTCACTTATTTTGTACATATATTTTAGGGGGGGTCATTCACATTGTACATGCTTCTCCATAAAAAACATCTTATAACACACACGCATGCACGCATGCACACACACACACACCCTTTATGCCAAAATACATGTTTTGAAGAAACCAGCTATGTAATACGTTGTTTGAAGTCAAACTGTTTAGTGATGTTATTCCCAGTAAACTTTGTAGTTGATACAGTGTAATGTCAGACCAGTGTGTTAAATAGTGTCAGTCTTCTGGATTGGTGACCAGATGGCTATGGAAGTTTGAAGGTAGTATCAAATTTCACCAGCTTAAAAAACACAGCTTCTGTTTCCAGACATGTTGTTTTACAAAGGTATCAAAAACGTAAACCTAAATGGCATGTCATGAGTCAAATATTATAAAGGGGGGTAACTCACAACCATACAAGTTTATATTTATATTTTTGATGGCCATATTCATCTACAGAAGCAGAAGCAGTATGTATATAAACAAAAGAGACATGCATAAAATATTCTTTCAAAATCTTCAGCCAGACCGTCATTTTCTTAGCCGTGGTCTAGCCAGTTGGCGGCCATTTCACACACTGTGTCAGATGTAATATTACAGATGTACATGCCAGAGCTGATTTGGCAGAGGTAATACACAGGGGTGGAAATAACTTTAAAATTGCTAGTGTACTCCGGTACAGTGGCACATGTAAAATCACTTGCCCTGATAATTTTTCCACTATACCGTCCGTTTTCTTGTTGATTTTTTAAATAAACAACATAATTCATATTGGAAAGTCAACTGGACACCGGTACAGTGTGATATAAAAATTTGCTTGCCCAACAGAAAAAAACACTGGACTCGGGCGTCGGGCAATGGGTTATTTCCACCCCTGAATACAATAGATACAGTGCCAAAGAGTGAAGACTGTTTGTCTGACCTGAAGCATTTGAGTGCAATAATGTGTGTGCTTCCAGAGTCCGACGGCTTCCCTGCACATTACAGGCATTTGTTAATGTTATGTTTCATTTCAAATTGATTTCAAATTTCAATTCAATATGAGTGAGTGAGTGAAAAAGAAAAATGTTTTTATTTTGCATATTGCTGAATTACAGGGCATCAGTAATCGTTCACTAGTGTAAATGTAGCCACTTTTGTCCACTGTTCTTAGGCATTCCATACTGTTTAAAGGTTGGGTAGATGAACTGACTGACTGAGTTTAGTTTTTATTGTCATGAGTTCTTTTAGCAATATTGGCGAATTCCAGCTTTAACATCACTGTTCACATGCGGGGACATTGGGTCAAGAATGAGGACTATTTTTATGGATATACAACTTCTTTATTCTGTATAGGCGACGCTTTTGACATAGATTCTAATGTCGTTGTCAAGCAAGTAGTAGGTTACTGTGATTGCCATGAGAATGAGTTTGGTTTAGTGCTGTTATTCCAGTTATAACAGGATGTCTGTTAAATATGGGAGGAAAGTGATGTTTCTGGTGAGTGAGTGAGTGTATATTTAACTGGAGTGGAACGTATAAGAGAAATCTTTATTGCTCAACATATTACCTGTACAATCAGAGAGACGATGTGTGTGGTTGTGTTGACAAGTCTAACTGATATCATTTCTTTATGGATAATATTTTTCTATATAACATCGGGTTAATATTTGATATGTTGTTTCCAGAATATTAATTGAGCAATCAAACCAATAAAAATGTGCTTACTAAGCATTTTTTCTGTCAGAAAGACATTTGCTACTCCTTGGATAAACTTGCTTGTTAGACATGATCTACATAAATATTAATCTGTTTTCTGTTTTTCCATTGATCAATTGGTATGATGGTTATTTTCTTAGATATATTTGAAATTATTCATCAATCAAATCAGTTACCCTTCATTAATAATTTGTTAACACCTGAATTGTTTTCAAGGTATTACAGTTTCGCTTGTGCCAAACATTACATTCGCATCCTTGTAGTCTTTAGTGACCTTCACATCATTTGTTGGGTTTCTGTGTTTCTGTGTCAGTTATTTAAATATAAACATTATATGTTTCCTACTCACAACCAACAGGAATCTGGAGCCCCTGCATCTAGCAATATAGCTGTAATCACCATCCCAGCATTACTTGTATTTTAAGCCACCAGCACATGATTGTTGTGCTTCACTGTGAGCTAGTCATTATCATCATTTAAGCGAAGTCTTTAATTCTGCGAATTAATATTTTTTCAAAGAAAGAGGGTGATACAGAGATTTATCGTGACCTGCTCCGAGGCCAATTGACCTAAGATTTACAGCATGTGTCATTAAATGTTCCTGATTGGGAAATCACAAATTTTTAAATATTTCGAATGTATTACTGCCTTTAATGATAATTTATGTACAAAATACAATGTTTACATACCCCAGAGTATAAGAAAAAAAACCTGCTTTGAACACGTTTCGTTTCCTAAATGACCAGGGGACCTGATATAGAATAAATCCCTGTATTAAAAAACTCACCAACCTGCCATAGTTAATAATGACCTGAATAGCGAAACACATATTTTAAGATATTTTATGGGTTGCATTACCTGTTTTAGAAACACTCTCTGAAGGACATCAGTAGAACCTGAATCTGCTCACTGTTAATCAGTTACATTTCAGAAACCATATCAAATGTAGATGTCTATTTTTCTATATGAATTCTGTGTATTAGTCATGTTTTTTTCATAAATTGATGACTTGTATTTTGTGTATGTTTGTATGATATATATATTTATAAGGAAATTGTCAAATTTAAAAAGACAATTTCATACTCTTACATGAAGACGATATTGATGATCATTGGTTGTGGTTTCATTTCTAACAAATCAGATCGGCAAATAGACATTGTGGTTTTTTTCCGAATTTCACAGACATTTTTGTTACAGTTACAGTGATGGAAGTGACCTGGCCAGTGCTACCAATAGTTTAATATATCTATGTTGACTACAAATCAGTCATTACATTGGGACAGGGTTTGTCTTTCAGTAACCATTCCAATCACCAGCTGTCTTATGTTCCTTATATATTAAAAGGTGGTGGAGTAGCCGAAGTGTTAGCTCATCAAAAACATGGGTTTGATTCCATAACTTGCTAAACTGCATTTGAACACTTGTTGTTATGGTAGTAATGCTACTTCTGTACTTCTAAACCCCATGTGAGAATGGGGGTATTATATATGTTGTTTAGTGCCATAGTTCTCAACCTGTTCCTAATGTTCCGATTTTGCTGCCATTGGGAACCAACCGAAACTGACAGAAAGTGTAAGCATAATAAACAGTTTAGTTTTGTTCACGCAAGACTACCTAGAAACACTACCTACAAACATACCCGTGGAGATCCGGGTTAGAATTGGTCTTCAGTAACCCATGCTTGTTGTAAGAGACGACTAACGGGATCGGGTTGTCAGGCTTGCTGAGTTGGTTGACACATGTCATCGTATCCCAATTGTGTAGATCAATGCACATGTTCACTGGATTGTCTGGTCCAGACTGGATTATTTACAGACCACCGCCATATGGCTGGAATACTGCCGAATGTGGCGTGAAACAACAAACAAATGATATAACCTACAAACATGGAGGCTGTTGTCATTAGGTTTGCACTAGTCCTTTTCTTTTCTAAAAGAGCCTTCATTTCTGTGACACACACACACGCACTCCGCACGCACGTACACACACACAAATGTTAGGCATGTTGAAAACCTGTGATTGTGGGTTGGAATAATGAATTATTCACCCCATTTGTGGTTTTAAGCTTTGTCAACACCATACCCATGTGTGTGGGTTTCACCTTAGTGGTAGACATCGTGAACATGCTTCACTTTGGGATTCCCCCATATGGAGCTACAGTACCTTGACCTGATGTTACTGGAATATTGTTAAAAGTGGTGTTAAACCCAACTCACTCACTCATGAATGTGGAACCAATGTATCATTATGATGAGTTTGTTTTTGTTATTATGATTATTATTACTTGTCATTGTGGAGAATTATGTGTATACTGAATGGCATGTGTGTTCATCACTCATCATAAAGGTATTGGTATTCAACTGTTGTTGTCATATACAGTAAACTATCACTGATTGACCAGGCGTTGTTATTCTTTTCAAGAAGAGATAAGGGTAGCCTTGTGGTTGAAGGCTAATAACTTGAGGGTAGCCTGTGGTTGAAGGGTAATAACTTGAGGGTAGCCTTGTGGTTGAAGGGTAATAACTTGAGGGTAGCCTTGTGGTTGAAGGGTAATAACTTGAGGGTAGCCTTGTGGTTGAAGGGTAATAACTTGAGGGTAGCCTTGGTGGGGTTGAAGGTGGTAAGGAACTTGAGGGTAGCCTTGTGGTTGAAGGGTAATAACTTGAGGGTAGCCTGTGGTTGAAGGATAATAACTTGAGGGTAGCCTTGTGGTTGAAGGGTAATAACTTGAGGGTAGCCTTGTGGTTGAAGGGTAATAACTTGAGGGTAGCCTTGTGGTTGAAGGGTAATAACTTGAGGGTAGCCTTGTGGTTGAAGGGTAATAACTTGAGGGTAGCCTTGTGGTTGAAGGGTAATAACTTGAGGGTAGCCTTGTGGTTGAAGGGTAATAACTTGAGGGTAGCCTTGTGGTTGAAGGATAATAACTTGAGGGTAGCCTTGTGGTTGAAGGGTAATAACTTGAGGGTAGCCTTGTGGTTGAAGGGTAATAATAACTTGAGGGTAGCCTTGTGGTTGAAGGATAATAACTTGAGGGTAGCCTTGTGGTTGAAGGGTAATAACTTGAGGGTAGCCTTGTGGTTGAAGGGTAATAACTTGAGGGTAGCCTTGTGGTTGAAGGGTAATAACTTGAGGGTAGCCTTGTGGTTGAAGGGTAATAACTTGAGGGTAGCCTTGTGGTTGAAGGGTAATAACTTGAGGGTAGCCTTGTGGTTGAAGGGTAATAACTTGAGGGGTAGCCTTGTGGTTGAAGGAGTAATAACAGGAGGGTAGCCTTGTGGTTGAAGGGTAATAACTGAGGGGTAGCCTTGTGGTTGAAGTGTAATAACTTGAGGGTAGCCCTTGTGGTTGAAGGGTAATAACTTGAGGGTAGCCTTGTGGTTGAAGGGTAATAACTTGAGGGTAGCCTTGTGGTTGAAGGGTAATAACTTGAGGGTAGCCTTGTGGTTGAAGGGTAATAACTTGAGGGTAGCCTTGTGGTTGAAGGGTAATAACTTGAGGGGTAGCCTTGTGGTTGAAGGGTAATAACTTGCAGGGTAGCCTTGTGGTTGAAGTGTAATAATTTGAGGGTAGCCTTGTAGTTGAAGGATAATAACTTGAGGGTAGCCTTGTGGTTGAATGATACTAACTTGAGGGTAGCCTTGTGGTTGAAGGGTAATAACTTGAGGGTAGCCTGTGGTTGAAGGATAATAACTTGAGGGTAGCCTTGTGGTTGAAGAATAATAACTTGAGGGTAGCCTTGTGGTTTAAGGGTAATAACTTGAGGTATGTGGTGGAAAGGGGTATGCTGATAACTTGAGGGTAGCCTTGTGGTTGAAGGGCAATAACTTACAGGTAGCCTTGTGGTTGAAGGGTAATAACTTGAGGGTAGCCTTGTGGTTGAAGGGTAATAACTTGAGGGTAGCCTTGTGGTTGAAGGGTAATAACTTGAGGGTAGCCTTGTGGTTGAAGGGTAATAACTTGAGGGTAGCCTTGTGGTTGAAGGGTAATAACTTGAGGGTAGCCTTGTGGTTGAAGGGTAATAACTTGAGGGTAGCCTTGTGGTTGAAGGATAATAACTTGAGGGTAGCCTGTGGTTGAAGGGTAATAACTTGAGGGTAGCCTTGTGGTTGAAGGGTAATAACTTGAGGGTAGCCTTGTGGTTGAAGGGTAATAACTTGAGGATAGCCTTGTGGTTGAAGGGTAATAACTTGAGGGTAGCCTTGTGGTTGAAGGGTAATAACTTGAGGGTAGCCTTGTGGTTGAAGGGTAATAACTTGAGGGTAGCCTTGTGGTTGAAGGGTAATAACTTGAGGGTAGCCTTGTGGTTGAAGGATAATAACTTGGAGGGTAGCCTTGTGGTTGAAGGGTAATAACTTGCGCGTAGCCTTGTGAGCAGTGTTGAAGGGTAATAACTTGATGGTAGCCTGTGGTTGAAGGGTAATAACTTGAGGGTAGCCTTGTGGTTGAAGGGTAATAACTTGAGGGTAGCCTTGTGGTTGAAGGGTAATAACTTGAGGGTAGCCTTGTGGTTGAAGGATAATAACTTGAGGGTAGCCTTGTGGTTGAAGGGTAATAACTTGCAGGGTAGCCTTGTGGTTGAAGGGTAATAACAGGGAGGAGTAGCCTTGTGGTTGAAGGGCAAGTAGCTTGAGGAGTAGCCTTGTGGTTGAAGGGAGGAAGGTGCAATAACTTGAGGGTAGCCTTGTGGTTGAAGGGTAATAACTTGAGGGTAGCCTTGTGGTTGAAGGAGTAATAACAAGGTAGCCTTGTGGGGTAATTGAAGGAATATGTTGAGGGGTAACCTTGTGGTTGAAGGGCAATAACTTGAGGGTATGTAGCCTTGTGGTTGAAGGGCAGTAACTTGAGGGTAGCCTTGTGGTTGAAGGAGTAATAGCGGGTGGAGGGTAGCCTTGTGGTTGAAGAGGCAATAACTTGAGGGTAGCCTTGTGGTTGAAGGGTAATAACTTGAGGGTAGCCTTGTGGTTGAAGGGTAATAACTTGAGGGTAGCCTTGTGGTTGAAGGGTAATAACTTGAGGGTAGCCTTGTGATTGAAGGGTAATAACTTGAGGGTAGCCTTGTGATTGAATGTAATATCTTGAGGGTACACTACAGCTATAAATTACACCGAAATGTAGAAAATTCAATTTCCACTACGATGGTGTACTCTAAAGTGCAAATACTTGGACGGTTTGAAAAAACCCCACTTTTAAGTGTTTTCCCACATTTTGTCATGCCTTAAAAACAGCACATTCCTCCGCTGTATATCGTACATACAGCAAATAACACTGTGAATAGCGGTTTCGTAATGTGTCCAAAATGGCGACATTTACGATGTAGTTACGGATCTACTTCAAGATTCTGCTACTGACTCATAACTGCCTCTACGATGACCAGTCCTGTGACTACCTTCGCCAGCTTGTACATCTGCATGTACCCACCAGAGCTCTTAGATCAATAGATACGTTAAGACTAACACAGCCAAGCACTAAAACATCCATGGGTGATAGAGCCTTTTTTCTGTAGCAGCACCAGCTCTATGGAACAATCTTCCAGTCACCCTCAGACGAACTGAGTCCCATTCACCATTCAAGAACTTGCTCAAAACCTACTTCTTCAAGATGGCTTCTGAATAGAACTCTTTTCACACTTATTGTGGTTTTAACGATGTATGCAGCGCCGTTGAGCATCTATGATGGAAACTAGGCGCTATACAAAATAATTATTATTATTATTATTATTATTATTTACGATGTGGCCAATTTTGAAAGGTCATTTTCAGCACTTTAGTTTGTCTAAGATAATAGTGGATGGTATCAAGAAACAGGAAAATTTCCACAGACGTCGAAACTGTTTAGTGTATTGTGTGCTAGATATATTTAGAATTGTATTTCACTTTAAAGTGAGGATTGAAGAGGAAGGACATGTCCCTCTGGCATCCAGGGGTGAAATAGACCAGTCTGGCAGATGGTGATATAACGGCACATGTGCAACGACCTTGACAAACTCTTTAGGCCCTGTGACGCAACATTGAAAAAAACGCAATGTTATAAAACCGACCGCATGCTAAATTGTAAATAAAAGGTACTTGTGATGAAGCATTATCGGAAGGGTGAAGCGAATGAGTATTTGCACACCCTACATGTAAGTTTCTATGTAAAATGTGCTGATCACTGTTAAGATTCTGCATATTTCCAGATTATGTTTCTGAACGTGTCTGAGGCAGGATAAAGGTTATCACCGTTCGCCATGTGGTGACACAAGTGACGCGTGTGCTTGAGAAGCAGCATGAGGTTGTGGATAACAGCAGTGGGATTGGCTAGCGGGC